ATCTTTGGGTCAGGGACGGCTGAAAGAAAAATACAAAAAGTCTACACAACTAAAATGAAAACAAGTTACAAAAAATGTATAGATTTTGGAGTCTGGAGATCTCCATGGCCCCTGAAAGCAAATGGAAAATTAAATTAGTAGAGAGCGAAAAAATAAACTACAGTCAATGCACTTTATATAAACTCTTTCATAATTAAAGATTCTAAAAAGCTATGATCAACCTGCCTGTTTAGAACAAGTTTAGCCATCCCTTAGCGTTGCACAGTAAATCATGTGTTAAAGTTGCTTCCCTTGGTTACATCTACTTTACCTCAATAACCATGCTCCACCATATCCTGCAGTTATGTGTCCTGACAACAGTTTCACCTATTAAATAAGAAAAAAAACAGGTTGACCTCTACACGAATATACTGAAACTAAAATTTACAGATTTGCTCTCTGTGAAGAGATTTCATCCTCGGCTCCTGCAAAAAAAAATCAAAGTAATTGTGCAAAAATTAATTACAATCGAAACATGTCAAAAAAGTTGTCCGAAATCAGGTATAACAAAAACAAATGGTCAACCTTCCAGTATTAACGACATATCGACATTTTGGCAATCCAGAAAAATAAATCACCCTAGGGAAGGAAACTTGATCACTACCTCAGTCTTGACCCAAGCCCCGTGTTCAACTAGATCCTGTAGTTGTGTTATCTAAGCACAGGTTTTCTACCTACAGAATCATAAAGAAAACAAATAGAATTTGTTATAGACAACCTACTTTTGTCAACTAAATACTTTTCCAAATGTAAAAAATGGACTATGGTCAGTTTACCTGTATGGAACAATATACGTTCCCATGAGGGAAAAAACTATTTTAAAATGATCGTATCTCTGCTTTTCTCAAGACATGCTCCACTGCATCCTGTGTTTTGACAGATTTTTTTTTTTTTTTTTTTTTTTTTAGGTTTGAGATTACAACACAATTTATTTCTTGAAAATTAATAATCACCATTCAAAGAATAACACGAAAATTAACAGATCTGTAACAATAGCACACACGCCGACAAAATTAAAAAAAAAGAAAATTCATGAAAAATTGAGAAAAGTCAATTCATTTTTGCCTAAGCTTTCTTTTTTCCCCACAAATTTCAGGCGAGAGTTGTTGATAAAGTATACTGTATCAACAACGTAGTCTTATCATAATTGTAGTAATTGCAGCTGGTAAAAATTTAGACTAAATGTGTAGATCTATAGACTACAATTAATTCGAATTAATAAAAAAAATTCAGCCATCAATATTTATTCTTTATAAATATACATTTTTTCTTTTTTTTTCTTTGTTTTTTGTTTTGACAGATTCCTGTAGAAAAGTCTAAAGAGAAACTCAATACAGAATAAACTTAATTAACAAATCGTTGGGTTTATAGTACGGTAGGAGAAGAAAGGGATGGGTTTTTTTCCTTTAGTCTCCTGTGAAAAGAAAATGATACATTTAATAAAGTGTGCAAAAATCAAAATATAGTCAATAAACATGAAAAAATTGCTGTCCTAAAATCAAGTATAAAAAGGTCATGGTCAAGTCACCTGTCTGTAACATGTTCCTCTTGACTTCGCATGAAATGTTTTCAAGTTACTTCCCTTGGTAGGACAGCTCCTTCAACTTTAGCTACGACACCATGTTCAACCCTTGTAGTTGGACTCGCCCAGTCTCCTTTATCAAATAGAAAAAAGTACCAATTAGTAGACCCATAAACAATGATAATCATATCCAGAAACAAGTCTTTGTGGTGCCTGGGTGGGAGTGAGGGAATAAAAACCTGAAATAATTAGTAGAGTGCATAAACAAATTACAGTTAATGAATTGTTGAAAGCATGGCTTTCCAAAATGGAATTATCAGAAAAGACTAAGATCAACTTGCCTGTCTGGAAGAATTATGTGCCCTGTCCTTAGTTTCCCTTTAAAACAAAAAAACATGTCTATATAATTAATACAGATATTTCATGTGGAAGGGGAATTTACTCAAAATGATGCATGCATCAAGAACGGATGACAAAATTAAGCATACACAGAAGTCTACCGTCAACCTACCTATTGAACAATACGTTCTTCTAAGCCAGGGGTCGGCAACCTTTACCGACGGAAGAGCCAAAAAATGCAATTTACCAAAGTTACCAGTTCTTAATGAGCCACAAACGTTTTTTTTTTCAATATTTAGGATTAGGTGTATGTATATATATATATATATATATATATATATATATATATATATATATATATATATATATATATATATATATATATATATATATATATATATATATATATAATATAAATTTAAATACATAGCTTTAAATATGAAATAATAATTATTCATATTTTTTTTTAAATACGCATGTTTTGCACAAAACATATTATAGTATTTTAGTAGCTCTGCTAGAATAAAAAAATTACTAATCAAACAATTTAACTATAATCATTAAATATTTACCTAAGTTACACCAATGGGAGTTACTTTTTATTATATTAATGTAACAGAACTTGCTAGCACGAATACGTTGACCTAGAGATCATCAGCACTCAAGATGTCAACTTCTCCAGGTTAAAAATAAGTTATTCTCGTCTGGACACCATGCTCCAATATCTTCTGTAGTTGTCCAGTGACGTGTAGAAGGCATATTACTAGACCTAAGGCCGACTACGTTAGACCTTCATTAGACGTCCAGTCAAGTGCGGGTGGAACACACACACACACACACACACAAACACACACAAACAAACACACACACACACACACACATTATTCTTGTAAATAACTGCTTCCGTACCCGACATCTCCCTTACGTGACTGCTCCCGTACTTACTTAACTGCTCCCGTACTTACTTAACTGCTCCCGTACTTACTTAACTGCTCCCGTACTTACTTAACTGCTCCCGTACTTACTTAACTGCTCCTGTACTTACTTAACTGCTCCCGTACTTACTTAACTGCTCCCGTACTTACTTAACTGCTCCCGTACTTACTTAACTGCTCCTGTACTTACTTAACTGCTCCCGTACTTACTTAACTGCTCCCTTACTTACTTAACTGTTCCTGTACTTACTTAACTGCTCCCGTACTTACTTAATTGCTCCCGTACTTACTCAACTGCTCCCGTACTTACTTAACTGCTCCCGTACTTACTTAACTGCTCCCGTACTTACTTAACTGCTCCCGTACTTACTTAACTGCTCCCGTACTTACTCAACTGCTCCCGTACTTACTTAACTGCTCCCGTACTTACTTAACTGCTCCCGTACTAACTTAACTGCTCCCGTACTTACTTAACTGCTCCCGTACTTGACTGGTCCTGTAAATTGCCGCTCCCGTACTTGACCGTTCCCGTACTTGACTGTTGTTGTACATGGCTTCCCGGACATGACTGCTCCAGTAGCCTACTTGACTGCTCCATTTTCATGACTTTCCGTTTAACCATATTTGTTTTTTTTATTCCAACTAATCAGATCTTTCAAACAGCTAATTATTGGTGTTTAGATTATGGTCAAACAATAACGTAGGGTAAATAATAAAAAAAACATTCTTGCAAAAACTTTATGTTTAAAATATAACGATACAAAATAAATTAAATATTATAGTAAAATTGAATGTGTCATAGATTTTCTGAGTTTTGGAAACAGTTACAGATTGGTTCCCTTAAACTTGTTAAAATTTGAAATGGGAAGTAACTCATACAATACTTAACATTGCCAAAATAAGTTGTTACAATGTATTGTTTATATATATATATATATATATATATATATATATATATATATATATATATATATATATATATATATATATATATATATATATGCCTATGGATGTCTCTTTGGTTTATATGTCAAACTTTATTTTTGCGGCTGTATGTATTTAAATGGTTACTTATAAAACTATAAACTCCAGCTGAAAAGATTTTTAAATTTGGCATCAATACGTGGTGACTTGAGCCAAAAAATTATTTGCGTCGTTTGGTCCGGTGTTCACCTTCAACTACAGTCAAATGAAATCCATCATCTTGTTAAAGATGCTCCCCGCTTTGGAAAACGTTGGCTAAGAAATATACGCTTTGTATGCGTTTTCGGATGGGAAGGAGTTTTCAATTTTTGTACAAGGGCAACAACTGAAATTGACTTCCAAACACTCGACACAAAATGTGCACCAACTATTACCTGTGGTGGGGGGGGGGGGGAGGTAGTTAAAATAAAATTGAAAGGAAACAGCCGGATACAGATGAATGAAATCAGACGGTCACAGTCTGATAATTCATTGTGCCACTCAGGCTTAGAGCTCAACAGTTTACTGTGTGGCGCAGCGAGGGTTTCAGTCGACTAGTTTAATCCGATTTTTAAAAATATAGGATTATAATAAAAAAAGAAGAAAAATTCGGTTACATTTTTAAAGTGTCACAGTTATTTGTTCTTTGAGCCGCCCTAGATTTTAATATATACCTGGAGTTCTATATCACATCTAGATCTGTAGTCTCCACTCCCACTACCACCCAACTCACCCCACCCCCTACCTCTTAATAATACCACATTTATTTGTTCTTTGAGCCCTAGATTTTAAAATGTATCTTAAGTTCTATATCACATCTAGATCTCTAGTCTCCAACCCCCCCCCCCCCCCAATCACCTCATCCCCGCCCTCCAATTAATGCCACATTTATTCGCAGTTTGAAAATCTGACGTCTCCACATAACACATAACAATCAGCGATACGATTGTCTTGTCTTAAATTATATGCACTCTTTTACTTTCACCGTATCCCAATGTCACAAAATCAGAGATATATGTTGTCTGTTTTCAAGACAAAAACAGCTTTTGGTCCTGTGCATTGAAAATAAATTTCATATTTTTATCTGCATGATAGTTAATACAATAATATGTAGGTATACATAAGAACTGTTGAATAAGATTAAAAATTTAAGTTTAAATAATAAACACAGAAGTTGAAAAATATTTTTTTTTTATTGCTCTATTGAACGAATGTATATAGCTCTTCGCAACTACACGTGATTATAGTAAGTAGCTGTAGCTACTTCTTGTACTTGGAGTAGCCTTCAACAAACTCTAGTATCGATATCTTCCCATCTTTGTTGGTATCGAAGCTGTCAACCAGCTCTAAGACGTCATCAAACTCCAGGAAATATTCCCTCTTGCGCTCCACGAGAGTCTTGAGCTCACGTCGAGTGAGGAATCCGTCCTTGTCTTCGTCATACGTTTCTGATAGGCTCCTTAGGTCACATGGTCTGTGGGTACAGGGATTTGGTCAAGGTATAAACAAATAAGGTCATTAGGTCACATTGTCCATGGTTAGAGGGACATTGGTCAAGTTATGAACAGATAAGGTCCTTAGGTCACATGGTCTGTGGGTAGAGGGACATTGGTCAAGGTATGAGCTCATAAGGTCCTTAGGTCACATGGTCTGTGGGTAGAGGGACATTGGTCAAGGTATGAGCTCATAAGGTCCTTAGGTCACATGGTCTGTGGGTGTAGGTGGTTTAACGCTGGGGGTGGGTGTAGGTGGTTTTGCGTAGGCTGGAGTGGGTGTAGGTGGTTTTGCGTAGGCTGGGGTGGGTGTAGGTGGTTTTGCGTAGGCTGGAGTGGGTGTAGGTGGTTTTGCGTAGGCTGGGGTGGGTGTAGGTGGTTTTACGTAGGCTGGGGTGGTTGTAGGTGGTTTTAAAATTTAATTTAAACGAGGAGTTGTATGGGTCTCAGGCCTTGCTAGTGGATGGTGATGGGGTGGCCGCCCCGTGTGCCGACACAAAAGAGGCGTCACGAGGGTTAGAAAAACCAAAAGAAAAGCTTAGTTTGAACTACGTTACTGAATAATACAGAGTAGAGATTAGGAAAATGAACCGCTACAAGGCTTTATAATAGCCAAGTGTATTGTCGTATAAATGAGGTACAAGGAATGGGTCACTACGACACTCCTAGGGGTGGGTCGAGAATGTCAAATAGCAGTTGTATGATCCCTAATTAACTGCTAAGGGTTATATGACAGACAAGGTAAAACAAATAAAACTTCACATTGGTAAACTTACACATCCGCCATTTTTTGCCACCCAGCAAGAAATTCTTCGAAGACAATTTTCTTGTTGCCGTCTGGACCATCAAAGAATCGGAAATATTCCTAGGGGTGCAGAAACATATATGAGGGGAAAATACAATGCTAATATATATATATATATATATATATATATATATATATATATATATATATATATATATATATATATATATATACATATATATATATATATATATATATACATATATGTATATATATATATATATATATATATATATATGTATATATATATATATATATATATATATATATATATATATATATATATATATATATATATATATATATATGTGTGTGTGTGTTTATGTGTGTATTTGAGTATGTGTGTTGATTCCCCCTTCCTCACCAAATATGCTAAAAAAACAACTAAAAACGATGACAATGTATTACTTTCAAGAGCTCCGTGTTTAAACATCTCTTCTCAAAGTGCGCCGTCAGCTCGCTCTCGTCCAGATAGCCGTTGTTGTCCTTGTCCAGTTGTTTGAACAACGCCTCCATCTTCTGCATTACTTTGGACATGATGGACAGTTAGGTTTTTGTATGGCGCTGTTGAAGAACATTTGGTTGGGTGTATTCTGCTCACATTTTACGCCTACCTACGTGAATGGGGATCTATAACATGCCTAAGTTGACGGCAAGTTTGTTTGAGCACGGGTGCTATATCACAAGTATTTGAAGATGAAAATCTTGTCAAGTCAATATAAACATTAAGATTTGTGACAAGTCTAGGTAAATACTAAAAGGCTACTTGAGAATGATTGTGTGTCAGAGACAAATTATTGTTAAACGTTAGTCATTAACAAGTCTGTCAGAAAATTGACAAATTCAAACCAGCATACATTGAATAACCAAATACAAAGCATAACACTTTTGGCGTGTTGTTGTTATATGTTTTTTTAAATATATAACTTATTACTGAGGTAACTCAACTTTCTTCGACATTTAACAGCCCCCCCCCCCCCCCACCCCCACTCCAACTAGCATAGATATAGACAGATTTTCTCCAGTGTAAAAAAAATAAAAAATAAAACAATGTTAATTATAGCCCATATTCTTCCCTAAAGAAATATAGTAAAGTTACCATGATTTATTTTTCTATCTTGGAATTAAATTGATCATGTGTTATGATGTGTTTTAACTGAGCTTACCTTGTGTCGTGATGTGCCAGGTAACAGAATGGCTTGACTTATATCAGGTAAATGTAGGTCTCAGTTGTGGTCTGTCGAGCAGTGAAAAGAGTTTTGGATCTGGGCTGAGTTAATCCGAGTCGAACTCTAAAAGCCAACCAACCTTGACGGGTATAGAAATATCTAGATTAGTAGAGCAATTTTATTTATTTAAATAACATTCGTTTTGGTTACTGTCAAGAAAGGTTTTTAAAAGAATTTCCTCGGTATATTTGTATTTATTTTTGCTTTTCTGGCAAAATAATATAACAAAAAATATGTTTCTTTTTTTTTTTATTAACTCTTTTCTTTTAATTTTCTTGATTTTGTATTTACAATCAACAAAATATCTAGGTGAAGTTTTAATCTAAATCTTAAACATTACAGCCTTTAACGGTTTGACAATAAAAGACCATTTAAACAAGGGAGTTTATTCTCTACTGCGGCCAAATTTCAACACACCAAATACTCATCTCAATTTATGACAGCTACTTCCTACATTTACATCTCCATTCCTCTCTCGGATTTTGTCCTCCCATTCCCCTTCTCTTTGATTTCCTCACCCATTCCTTCTTTCTCCCACCCACTTCTTTCTCCCACCAACACCCTCCCCCTCAAAGGCAACAGATGTCAGTTGTTGGTTCAGACTATCGACCTATGGCTGATACCTAAGTTTGGTATACTAATAGTTTTGTATACCAATAGCTTTGTGTACCAATAGTTTTTTGTACCTATAGTTTTGTATACCAATAGTTTTGTATACCAATAGTTTTGTATACCAATACTTTTGTATACCAATAGATTTGTGTACCTATAGTTTTGTATACCAATAGTTTTGTGTACTTATAGTTTTGTATATCAATAGTTTTGTGTACCAATAGTTTTGTATACCAATAGTTTTGTATAGGAATAGTTTTGTATACCAATAGTTTTGTATGCCAATAGTTTTGTATACCAACAGTTTTGAAAGTAAAACGTTAGCATTTGTCAACCCTCTGTACTGTTTCTATGAGCTTTATTAACATGGGGTGTGGGGTTTGTGTGTGGGGAGGGGAAATGAAAATGTGGGCGGAGGGGGGGTTGGGGGGGATTGTATTGGTCTGGGGGGGGCGGTAAAGTGAGTGTTGTTACCTATTGTAGCAATAGACCAAGTTATAATAAAGCATTTCAATTTATAGTTTTTCCCCATGGATAAACAATACTTATTTTATTAATATCTACCTTACGAACATCCACCAAAATATCCACCTTAAAATCATCCACCAAAATATCCACCTTAAAATCATCCACCAAAATATCCACCTTACGATCATCCCACAAAATATCCACCTTACGATCATCCACCAAAATATCCACCTTACGATCATCCACCAAAATATCCACCTTACGACCATCCCACAAAATATCCACCTTACGACCATCCACCAAAATATCCACCTTACGATCATCCACCAAAATATCCACCTTACAGGTATTTTTAGTTGGATGCGTGTGTGTTGGATACACCAGACAGACGCTGGCTAGTCACTGAAGCAGAAATACAATCCCATTCATACAGGCTGTACAAAGTGGGGTATTTCTATTCAAGTATAGCTTATGTATTCTTTAGGGAGAGATCGGCGCATAGAGTTGCTGCAGAAATAAACCGGTTTGGATAGATGTTATGCTAAGCATAAGCTGGATTTGTGGGTTGGCCGTATACAGTCTATCTGATAATTTGCTGTACTTATAGCTATAAGTTGGGTATGTTAAGCTTCCAGTAGAATTGTGCGTTAAATCATTTCCTAATTTGCTGTTCGGGTGTGTTAAGCTAATTGCATAGCTTTAAAGTATGCCTGTTGAGCTAGTTTTGTAGCTATAAAGTATGTTAAGCTTACTGTATAGCTATAAAGTATGCCTGTTGCGCTGGTTTTATAGCTATTAAGTGGGTATGTTAAGCTAACTGCATAGCTATAAAGTATTGCTGTTGAGCTAGCTCTATAGCTGTAGGATGGGTATGTTAAGCTAGCAATAAAATTACGAGTTAAACTATTTATGCGGCTGTTTATATTATATGTCTCTTCAGATGTACAGTTATGTCGTGAATGTCGTATTTAGTATTTTTCCCCCTAACATTTTGTCATAACTATTCGCAGGTTTAAACTCAAGTTGTCCCATCTACCTATAGTTTGACACCCCCCCCCCCCCCCACCCCAACGTAATGTCATATCTACTAGCGTGTCTAAAATTTAATTTTCTGGTTTTAAAATTCCACTTATCACATCTACTTTACTTCACGATAGTGTATCACTTTCTTACTTTCACCAAATACTGATGGCACAAAACAACAGAAGAGCTCTAGTCAACCTAATATGTTCTTGAGGTTCTCAGTTCTCCATGGCATAACTCTAATGCTGACAGAGATGTTTGGTGACAAGGTCTAAAGCAGGGGTCTGGTACAGTTTGTAGTATCGCTTCTACGTTACACGACTTGGTGTTCTGTTATTTCTTATGGGGTAAGGGAGGTAAAGAATATTTTGTTTTCCAAGACAAAAAATAATGTTATCGGCCCTGTGTATTAAAAATATAATTCATATTTTTTTAATACTATAAACACTCTACTATAATAATAATTCTATGTTTGCAAATCTCTTACAAAGTAAGGTAAATAAGGATCAGAAATATTCAGGCCTTAGACGTGTTGGATATACTGGAGTCAATTAATTATTAAACTATTAATACGAAAATTAAAATCCCAACTGCTACTTAATTGGTGTGTGTGCGCGCGCGTGCGTGCGTGTGTGTGTGTTCGTACGTGCATGCGTGCTTGTGTGTGTATGTGTGTGTGTGCGTGCGTGGAGAATTATGATACGAGAGTTATGGCTGTATCAAAGCGAAGATACACGTTAACACAATCATATGCTGAGAAGCCAGTTACGTCGAGAACGAGATCACAAGATCACAAGATCACAAGATCACAAGATCACAAGATCACAAGATCGCAAGATCGCAAGATCACAAGATCACAAGATCACAAGATCACAAGATCAAATAGAAAAACAAGCATCAAGGTTTGACATTTGGCCAGCCATAAGTCTGGTGCATTTTATTTATTGTAAGCAATACAAACAACGAAACAGCTAAATTGTCTATTGTTTTATGTCTCATAAAAAGAACCATCATTTACATAATCTAATAAACGATGGCTAAAATTATCTGTAAGCTAGTAGGCTTGTATATATTAATATTATTTTAAGAAACAGATTTTATTTAAGCTAAAAAAATGATTTTAGAAATGTAAGCGTGATATCACAATAAAAAGTATAATATTATAATATCTAAAATCACATTTAAAGTAAACAAAAAGCAACAATGTAAGTGAAATAAAATCTAAATGTGTGTGTGTTAACTTCTCAGATAACACTAGATAACCCAGTAAGTGTCGATGTACGTCATTAGCTATTAGTTACTTCTTATACTTGGAGTAACCTTCATTGAACTCTTGTATCGATATCCTTCCATCTTTATTGGTATCAAACATGTTGACCAACTGGTCAGCGTCATCAAACTCCAGGAAATATTCCCTCTTGTTCTCCACGAGAGCCTTGAGCTCTGGTCGAGTGAGGAACCCGTCCTTGTCTTCATCGTACTCAAAGGCTAATTTCCTTAGGTCAACTGGTCTGTGGTTAGAGGGACAATGGTCAAGGTCATAACACGTTTTACTTAAAAACTACATTTGTGATGGTGACTAATGAATTTTAAGTCTCAAGCCTTTTTTTAACTAAAAAAAATGTAACATTTAATTTCAAAACTATTCAAATTGCACATGACAATAACATAAATGTGGACCGATAATGTCAATGTTAAGTGTAGTATCTTTAAGTATTTGTTAAGGACTTAAATGCCAGACAAGGTTGTGAGCAAAAAGTCCACGTGTATCAAAACGACGACACATACCTCAGACAAAATTTTCAATTATTAAAAAAAAACGAAACTTACAGATCCGCCATTTTTTGCCACCCAGCGAGAAATTCTTCTAGAACAATCTTCTTGTTGCCGTCTGGGCCATCAAAGAATCGGAATTGTTCCTGGAGGTGCAGGTACAAATGTTAGGGAAATATACAATATTGATATATTATTAAATATATAGGGCCTTTATATATATATATATATATATATATATATATATATATATATATATATATATATATATATATATATATATATATAATGAAGAAAATATGACAGGCCCTACCTCTATGAGCTCCGTGCTTAAGCCACGCCTCTCGAAGTATGCAGTCAGCTCGCACTCGTCCAGGTAGCCATTGCTGTCCTTGTCCAGGAACTTAAACAACGTCTCCATTTTCTCCATGAGTCTCGAGGACATGGTGAGCCGATTGGGTGTGTCTGGTGCTGTGGAGGAATAGTCTAAGTGAGTGTTTGTGTTGGGGTGTGACAGGTCTATGGTGACATGGGGCTGTATGACAAGTAGGTGGTGACATGTGGCTATATGACATGTCTATGGTGACATGGGGCTATATGACAAGTGTGGGGACATGTGGCTATATGACACGTCTATGTGGACATGGGGATATATGACACGTCTATGTGGACATGGGGCTATATGACAAGTAGGTGGTGACATGGGGCTATATGACAAGTAGGTGGTGACATGTGGCTATATGACAAGTAGGTGGTGACATAAATCTATATGACAGGTCCATTGTGACATGGGGCTGTATGATAAATAAGTGTGAAGTGAATTCATATGATACATCTACAAAAGTGTTAAGTCTAATACAAGTTCATAAGAAAAAAACAAAACATAACTTTTAACTAGAAAACATTTAAATAACCCATGAGAATGTACCATTTATAAGTTGCATTATATGTTGGTGTTATAAGCAATCGTTTTAATAACGTAATAATATCATTAGAGCATCTTAACCCTACCCCCCTTTCCCTAAGTGGAAGAGAAATAACTCTAATTACCGTCTGATTTCCAGCTCTAATTATAATCAAAGGTATCAACAATTAACAAATCTAAGTCACCGTGTTTACACGACAGACTTTGGCTTTGAACTTAAATGTATTCAGGTGTCATCAGGTATATTAGCTGAGCTTACCTTGTTACCTGGGTTGTGTCATCAGGTATATTAGCTGAGCTTACCTGGTTTCCTGGTGGGGTTGTGTCATCAGGTATATGAGCTGAGCTTACCTGGTTTCCTGGTGGGGTTGTGTCATCAGGTATATGAGCTGAGCTTACCTTGTTTTCTGGGTTTTGTCATCAGGTATATGAGCTGAGCTTACCTTGTTACCTGGTGGGGTTGTGTCATCAGGTAAATTAACTGAGCTTACCTTGTTACCTGGTGGGGTTGTGCGTGTATCAAACTGCTACTGGAATGGCTAGGCTTATAAAGCCTCGGGTAAGCCAAACTTGCCGTTGTGGTCTATTAAGCAGAGACGTGGCTTTGATCCTGGGCTAAAGAGAGTTGGGCTCCACGGTCTGCAAACTAGGTCGGCGTCACCCGGTGCGGCACCTCATTGTGTCACCCCCCACCCGAATGTATATATATATATATATATATATATATATATATATATATATATATATATACAGTGGCGTCGCTGGGTCGGGTATCACCCGGTGCGGCACCCTCATGGTGTCAGCCCCCCCCCACCTTTTTTTATATCTAAATATTACAATTGGTGCCACCCTCCCCACCCCCCCCCCCCCACCCCCGCATCCCCTCCCCCGGAAATCTTTAAAGTGTTCAAATTTAATACTAGTGATGTTCATCTATAGTCGGTTGTTAATACAGCTGGGTTTTCTCTATAGTTTGCTTTTAAGTCATGGTGGCTCTCCCCCCCCCCCAACACCCCCCCCCATGTCGCTATGGTCATTATGTCCTTAAAATATTTGTAACTCTAATTAACCATTCATTGAACTGGCAAAAAACATGTATCTATACTAATAGTTTCGCTGTCTGTCAAGAACGCTCTGTCTGACAAGAACGCTCTAGAGAAAACACAAGCAAAATAAAAACATGCACAGTAATTCGAAAAACGAAATATGACGTCGACACATTTAGCGTAGAGTAGAACATAATCTCAAACCAGAGAGTGCACACAGTAATATGACGTCATTGATTATCGCGTAAACATTGAAAAAAAGGAAATGTTGTCTAATCTAAATGGTTTGCGTGAAGAGTTTCTTGCATACAATTCTTCGGGTAGGGGCGAAGCCCCACCCCCCGCGTAAGAACGTCTGAGCCCCCCCCCCTCCCCAACTCAAAAGAAATTTCCTCATCGATACTCTATAATAAAATTACAGCCTAATTAATGTGTCTAATCTAAAAAGTGGTTTTCTTGCAATGGGAAGGTAGACATGTTTTTTTTTTTGGGGGGGTTGGGGGGGGAGGGGTGGAGGGGTGGGGGGGGGGGTGGTGTGTAGGGGTGGGGGGTGGTGTGTGGGGGGGTGGGTTGGTTTCAGTGTTTCTTTCAGACTTTTTCCTCCCCGGAGAGGGGTGGGGGTACTTGAAATTTTCGGGGGCGGGGATAGAATATTCTGGGAGGGGGCGGACACTGGAAAAAGTATATAATTATATTTCGTTGAATGGGACGGTAGACATGTTTTTTTTGGGGGGGTGGGGGGTGGGGGGGCGGTGTGTGGAGGGGGTGGTGTGTGGGGGTGAGGGGTTGGGGTGGGGGTGGTGTGTGGTGGGGGGTGGGGGTGGTTTGTGGGGGTGGGGGGTGGGGTGGGGGTGGTGTGTGGGGGGTGGGTTGGTTTTAGTTTAGAGAAAAGAGACAGCACTATCAGCCTAGCGCCCGTTGTACCCTTCCTCAACGGGCCATTTATCTAGTTAATACTAATAGTTTCGCTGTCTCTCTATCTATCTATCTATCTATCTGTCTGACAAGAACGCTCTAGAGAAAACACAAGGAAATTAAAAACATGCATAGTAATTCGAAAAACGAAGTATGACGTCGACACATTTAGCATAGAGTAGAAAATAATCTCAAACCCAGAGAGTGCACACAGTTATATGACGTCATTGATTATTGAGTAAACATTCAATACAAAGGCAATTTGGTCTAATCTAAGTGGTTTGCGTGAAGAGTTTCTTGCATACAATTCTTCGGGTAGGGGCGAAGCCCCACCCCCCGCGTAAGAACGTCTGAGACCCTCCCCCTCCCCAACTCAAAAGAAATTTTCTCATCGACACTCTATAATAAAATTAATGTGTCTAATCTAAAAAGTGGTTTTCTTGCAATGGGACGGTAGACATGTTTTTTTTTGGGGGGGGGGGGGTGGAGGGGTTGGGGTGTGTGTGTGTGGGGGGGGGGGGTGTGGGGGTGGGGGGGGTGTGTGGGGGGGGTGGGTTGGTTTCAGTGTTTCTTTCAGACTTTTTCCTCCCCGGAGAGGGGTGGGGGTACTTGAAATTTTCGGGGGCGGGGGTAGAATTTTGTGGGAGGGGGCGGACACTGGAAAAAGTATATAATTATATTTCGTTGAATGGGACGGTAGACATGTTTTTTTTTGGAGGGGGGGGATGGAGGGGGGGGGGTGGAGGGGGTGGGGGGTGGGGTTGGGGTGGCGGTGTGTGGAGGGTGTGGTGTGTATAGGGGGTGGGGGTGGGGGGGTGGGGGTGGGGGGGATGGTGTGTGGGGGTGGGGGTGGTGTGTGTGTGTTGGGGGGTGGTGTGTGTGTGGGGGGGTGAGGGTGGTGTGTGTGGGGGGTGGGGTGGTTTTAGTTTAGAGAAAATAGACAGCACTTTAATCCTAGCGCCCGGTGTATCCTTCCTCAACGGGCCATTTTTCTCGTTCTATATATCTTGCAATTTTTTACTTTCTCGTATATACGTAGTATAGAGAAAGTATTGTAATCGTGCAAAAAAAAAAATCGAGATTTTTACAAATCTCGACGTTTTACACCTCACTGATACGGAAAAACATAATTTTGCAATCTTGTCCATATGTCTGTGTGTGTGTGGTGTGTGTGTCTGTGTGTGTGTCTGTCCGTGTGTAAACACGATAACTTGAGTACCGTTACAGCTAGGTTGATGAAATTTCATATATAAGTATTTTATCAAAATCGTAGATCCGTATCAACTTTTGAGCGATTTCCGATAACCGGAAGTGGTACTTTTCCTACTTTGAATTTTTTAAAAGCCTATAACTTGAGTACTATTTCAGATAGATAAATGAAATTTCACATGTAAGTAAAAGATCTAATTCTCTACCTTCTGTTAAATTTTGAGTAATTTCCGTTGACAGGAAGTAGTAATTTACGCTACTTCCGATTTCTCAAAAAACTAATGTAAATTTTAAGAGTACTAATAATATTGCGCACTATTATGCGCTTTTTACTTTCTCGTATATACGTAGTATAGAGAAAGTATTGTAATCGTGCACAAAAAAATCGAGATTTTTACAAATCTCGACGTTTTACACCTCACTGATACGGAAAAACATAATTTTGCAATCTTGTCCGTATGTCTGTGTGTGTGTGTGTCTGTGTGTGTGTCTGTGTGTCCGTGTGTAAACACGATAACTTGAGTACCGTTACAGCTAGGTTGATGAAATTTCATATATAAGTATTATATCAAAATCGTAGATCCGTATCAACTTTTGAGCGATTTCCGACAACCGGAAGTGGTACTTTTTCTACTTTGAATTTTTCAAAAGCCTATAACTTGAGTACTATTTCAGATAGATAAATGAAATTTCACTTGTAAGTAAAAGATCTAATTCTCTACCTTCTGTTAAATTTTGAGTAATTTCCGTTGACCGGAAGTAGTAATTTACGCTACTTCCGATTTCTCAAAAAACTAATGTAAATTTATTAAGTACTAATACTATTGCGCACTATTATACACACCTTTATTAGGCGTTCGCTTGGTGCGCAATTGTTTAGTTACTGAGATTCTATTCTATTTTTAAAAGTTTCAGTATTTAAAATGGATTAAAAATCATAACTATATCCCCAGTTACCATCCCCTGTTGTTTTATATAAGAATATTCGAGAAAGTTTAGGGGAGATCACTACCGGTTTATTTTGTCTTGGTGTCGACCCCTAAATAGTGTCACTCAGTGCGGTTGGCACCCCCGCCCCCGCCTCGCGACGCCTCTTAAAACAAGGGAATACAATGTGCTCCACATTTAATCATTTAATTTTTGTAGCTCGTGTTTATGTGTATCATCCTCATTTCACTCTTCCTCGTTCTTTGTTTCTTTCTCTCACTCTCCTTCTCTCTCTCTCTCTCTCTCTCTCTCTCTCTCTCACGAGCACGTAGGAACGCCAGCCCCCCCCCCCCCCCGTCCCCACAGACACGCCCACCCCCATTAACACAAAAGAAGTCAGTTGCTGGTACCGACTACCCTCAGTTGTAACCAATAGAAATTGTAAGCAAACGTTAGCACTAGACAAACCCTGTGTGGACATTTTACTAATACGGGGTGATTGTGGTGTGGGGGGGGGGGGGGGAGGTTAGCTGTGGGGTAGGGGATGTGGGGAGGTAAAGGAATGTTGTTGCCTATTACAGCTAAAAACCAAGTTATAAAATAAGCGCTTCAGTGTATAGTCTAGAGTCTAGAGAAACAGGTTTTTATTTTTTCAATTGATGGATAATTTCCACCTTAACAATATCCACCATTTTTATCCTTACAAATGTGTGGGAAATAGTTGGACGATAACCAGCTCTTGATGCGTGTCACTACACCAGACCGATGGAGGGCTAAATATTAAACCAGCAATTGCTGTTCCATGAAGCAGAGATCCGATCACATCTCAATACATGAAGTGGCTATAGAATGCGTTGTTTTTATATTCAAGTAAAAATCTATGTTTGAATGTTTCGTCTCAGGCTGCCCTTTTGTAACGGATGGAAACCGGTTTTTGGATATGTACTGGACCACATAAGCTAAATGTGTCGAGTTAACAGTTTAGCTGTAGTTATAACATGTGTCTGTTAAGCTAGCCGTATGGCTATACTGATGGTGTACCCATAGTGTGGCTGTTAAGCTAGCCGTATGGCTATACTGATGGTGTACCCATAAAGTTTGTTTCGCTTGAGGAATCCTAAATTTGTCGGCCGTGTTGAGAAATACAAGACTATATATATATATATATATATATATATATATATATATATATATATATATATATATATATATATATATATATATATATATATATATATATATATATATATATATATATATATATATATATATATATATATATATATATATATATATATATATATATATATATATATATATATATATATATATATATACTTTCAAATATAGTATGAAATATAGTTTAGAGTGTAAGACGTCCTGGACGTCAAACAGTTTGAAAGACGTCCTGAATAGAGACGTCAAACAGACTGCTACCTAAACACTTTACAGGATTTGTTCGCAATGCTATGATATTTGAGATATGAATGTATCAATACACAAAAGCAAAGTAATGCTAAAATGTCTATTGGGTGTACAATTTTATTCATTCCATTATTATTTGTAAATGTTTAGTTATGCACAACAAACTGCAACTTTACTGAGAACTATAAATAAAACCTTAAAAAGTTTAAGGTCACTTTATGTCAAACTATCCCTGGCCAAGATATGTTTGTGATATCATAACATAGTGGACACGTTAGCTCAAGTCACTAAGTCATGAAGTCATGAAATCATAGCCATACAATAAGTCATAAGTTACAGTGTACCCAAGGTAGCTTGTCTCAAAACATTAACAAAAAACACAAAATGATGAACGTAATTGTGAGGACATATACACACATACATACGGACACCCACTCACAAAGAAATACCCACTCAAAGAAACACCATAAGAAACACCCACACAAAAAACAGCCACACAAAGAAACACCCACACAAAGAAAACATCCTAAGAAACACCCACACAAAAAAACAGCCACACAAAGAAACACCCACACAAAGAAAACATCCTAAGAAACACCCACACAAAAAAACAGCCACACAAAGAAACACCCACACAAAGAAACGCCCCACAAAGAAACACCCTAAGAAACACCCTAAGAAACACCCAAAGAAACACCCACACAAAGAAACACCCTAAGAAACACCCCCAACAAAGAAACACCCCCACAAAGAAACCCCCACACATCATCTAGGTACAGGCGTTGATAAACTCGGCCAGGGAGATCTTGCCGTCCCCGCTAATGTCCATCTCCTGAATGAACTGCTCAACACTCCGGCCCTTGAAGTGCTGACCATGCTTGCCCAGGAGCTCTTGTACCTCCGCTTTGTTCAGGTAGCCATCACCGTCCGTGTCAAACTTCATGAACAGGCTGGACATCTCGTCAGAGCTGGACAACACAAGCATTTTAGTACTCGCTCACAGACATTTAGATGGCAATACTAATTTACGATAATCTTCTATATTCTTATATAAAATAACTCGACGATAATCTTCTATATTATATTCTTATATAAAATAACTCGACGATAATCTTCTATATTCTTATATAAAATAACTCGACTATAATCTAAACAGCAATTTTAAAAAACATTAACTTTGCATGAGCATAATAACTGCCTTTAAAATAATTTGGTATTTTCAACTAACAGAAAAAAACAACTTGCCAACACACATAAGGGGAGATAACCAAATAAAATAAACTTACAATGACTCCAATTTCTTGAGGCCGTTGAGAAATTCTTCAAGAGTTATCTTTTTGTCACCTTGGGGCCCGTCAAAGAAGACGAAAAAATCCTGTTGGGTAGGTTTTAAAGTTGGGTAGGTTTTAGAAAGTTTACACCATTTTTATTGATTGAGTGTTAGCATGTGAGTGGTTGTGTGTGGGAGGTGGGGGGGGGGATTGGTGGTATTTCTGGTGCGAAAGAAATGTAGTTTACGTTAAAGCATATTGATTTGGGGGACGGGGGCTGCTCTTCCTGTTACATAAATTCAGTTTACATTTGATTATATATACAATAGGGCTTCCAGAAGACATATATTAAAGTAATGAATACTTCTGGAAATGATATGATAAGACCCAATCATTACCGTGAGGATAAGACCAAGTTTTGAAATTAGAGAGACCCAGTGATAAATGTGACCCACTGAACCCAGCAGAACGATGTAGCAGACGTACCGCGAGCTGGCCGTCTGACAGGTGGCTGTGAAGCTGTTTGATCAGAGCCCTCAGCTCCACCTCGTCCAATGTACCGCTCTTGTCCTTGTCAAACTTGTGGAACACGTCCACCCAGTGGCTGAAGCTCTTGTTGGCGGCCATCTTGGGAAGTCTACACTTGATGGAACGAAGACAGGACCTGAATTCAAATGGTTGTATTTGATTATGTTTGGTCTTTAAGATCTACTTGTTATATATTAATTATAGTAATTGGATACACATTTCCAGCAGTCCCTCCAGGAGTCCATAGTGTCAGCCGCCAACCAATCAAACGTGTGCTTTCTCCGCGTTTTGGTTGGCCAACACATGTTTTGTGAACGATGCTATATTACAACTTTAGTTTCCAATGGTACACGACATGTAGATATTAATTAACAAACTCACTGAATTCTAATATTATATCAATCTAATCCCAATATTGAAACAGAATTTGAAGCACAATGATCTAACGAATAAATCCCGCTCGATGCAAGTTTTGTGGCTTTAATCCTGGATACAACCGTAGTGTGTAGTCGTGTTGTGAGTGAACTTGCACGAGATACAACACTGACCTAGACTTTCCTGGTGATTTGTAGGGCTCCAAAGTTGAATGCTACGAGTAGGGGAGAGGAATGTGACACCAGAATAGTTGTTGTTTTTTAACACGTTTTTATTAACTCAGCTTCGCGTGTGTTTGTTGTTAAAATTGACATCGAAAATTAGCCCACTTCTGATTGCTCTATAGATCTGAAATTTGGCATGCAGGTTACTTTCGCCTAACAATTTCAGATGCAATCATAAAAACTAGCAATTAGAGACCGTAATTAGCTTAATTTAATTACGCCCAAAGGACCATAAAATTGAGGACATGATTTCTAAAGATACCGACAAGACTGGAGGCTTGTTGACACAGTTACTTCGGCCCCAATCGATGTGAGCGCGCTGGCCGTGATCGTATAGTGGTTAGTACTTCGCGTTGTGGCCGCGACAACCCAGGTTCGAATCCTGGGCGCTCAAGATTTTTTTAGTCCGTGTATTTATAAACACTTAGTCAATTCATACTTAATCAAGTCATTAGATAAAGTAGAAAATAAACTATATAAAAAACTTTTTTAAAAAACACGTTTTTCATGTGTAGCAACGGACTAAAAAGGAGAAAATAAAATACTTAAAAAAAACTTTTAAAAAAAACACGTTTTTCTTGTGGACTAAAAAGTAGAAAATAACTATTTACATACATTTGATGACAAAAAACGTGGGTCGGGCAGATGGGTCGGGAAATTTGATGGTGAACGTACCCACGTTTTCTGTCATCAAATGTATGTAAATAGTTATTTTCTACTTTTTAGTCCACAAGAAAAACGTGTTTTTTTTAAAAGTTTTTTTTAAGTATTTTATTTTATAATGAGGTCAAAAATATAATAGTTCAAACATCCTAATGGGGTCGTGTCACCGTAGAATCACGCTATATTCAACTAGGGGAGGAGTGGCCTAATACGTTTACAGAAGGGGGTAAGTATTTGAATTTATTTATTTGAATGCAGAACCTGTAAGCCTAAAAAATATTTAGAAACATTTAGTTATATTGTATGTACAGTTATATTATAACATAATGCATATATGCTGGCAGTTTTTCAAGTATTACTAGTTGGGGGTTGTCCATAAAAGACACAAAACACTATGCGTGCTACACCGAGGGTTCGTTCTGCTAGGGATTGTAAGGGTCGACTCAAAATATCGTCCAGTAATTGTTTTAATGGTAATCTATCGTTTTAGGTACGTAAAATCGGCCGCGACTAGTAATGTGAAAAACAGGTGACTCCTTACATTTTAATAATTATTTCACATTTTGAGGAGGATTTATGTTTTGAAAAATACAAAAATGTTTCCTTGTTTCATTTATGTACCTGTTTTTAAACATTTGAATTAAAACTTTTCAGTAATAAATGAACACCAGCGATGTTTCCAACAGATGCAACCACGCTCATTTACTATAGCAGCCATCTTGTTAAAGTTTTATTTTTATAGACATATAGCGCGAGATTCAGGCGGAAGTCACTCTATTTTACAAATGGCTGCTGTTTATATAGCAAATCTTGCTTGCAGACACAGCTGTTTAAAGTTAATTTCTGGCCTATATTGATATATTTAGCCATTGATTTAGGTTTATTATTCATTTATCTATAATATTTGACACAAACATATCACAATATACTTCTATTACAGCCTTGACAATGAGGTAACGTTTTCGTACATTAATAGCCGCGGGCGATTTTACGTACCCAAAACGATAGATTACCGTTTTAATGGCCGAAAGGCGGTTGATTCGTTCCAGTCTTGGACGATTTGATCTTATTACAATTTTTTATTTCTTTTTTTAGATGCAAATCTTGCACCAGGTAAATTATTAGGCGAAATAAAATCTATCCATTGCTAGATAAATATCTGGAATTAAAAGTCTAACTCTACTGAAGCGAGACTTGCCATTTGACAAGGCCGCTAGGCTAGGCTAGGCTCCGATGGTGTGTTACTCAATGATGGAATGGTTTTCATATTAAAAGAACATTCTACAACAAACTGTTTGTTGGTGTATTTTCCATTATCGTCTTGAGAGTACATAACATGAGGTTAGTTTTGTTTGTATTGGAGCCGGGAACAAATACAAGAACGTAAATAAATAGAATCAGTTTTTACCTTGTTTGGTTACAGCCTGCTGTGACGGTAGTCTACGCGATGTCTAAATGGTATCCTGGGGCGTCGCGGTTCATGCACACAGAGACCCAGTGCGGCTAGGTTAAGGGTGGGGGGGGGGGGGGGGGGGGGGGGAGGGACGCTGGGTTAAGTGGGAGAGCATTCTGGGTAAACGAAAAACTTGAGTTGTGCTTGCAAAACATTTTTGGGCTTGTTGACATTAATTATTGCCGGTAAACTCAAGACTGACTGCGCTATGATAAAAAACATGATTCTCTTGCCTATATATATATATATATATATATATATATATATATATATATATATATATATATATATATATATATATATATATATATATATATATATATATATATATATATATATATATATATATATATATATATATATATATATATATATATATTACGTAGTCCAAGCTGGCGAAAAAAAACTTTTTCGCCAGCTTGGACTACCTAATATATAGTGTCAGTTTTTGCGGTTTTCAAAAAAAAAATTTCACTACTTCTAGTTGTCCTATAAGAATAAAAATTATATGTCAATAAAGTTTAAGTCTTTATCTGTCGTAATATGGTATTTTTATATCTGTAACCCATGTTTGAATGTGTTTTATATTTGTTTGAAAAATATCAGTTACGTCAACAAATTTCACCGTTTTGCGAGTACCGATCGACCCCACACTGTTTCATTTGGTTGCGGCTTCGCGACGAAGCATCGTAGAAGCATAATCTTAATGTCATTTTAAAGAGCGAATTCTAGTCTATCATTTGATGTATAAATTGAAAAAATAACTTGCTTATTTCATTTTAAAAAATCAGTTTTTAAACTTTAAATGACGATATATACACGAAAACAAACTAATTCTGTTTCAATTTTTACACCGATGTAAAGTTCACTTTTATAACTACTTTGTGATGTAAATTCAAGTATTTCTGATTTACGGTCGCGAAGCCGTGCCCTCAATAAGCATATAACCCTCGAGTCAACTTTCAGCCCCGAGTGAGTAGCTCGCCGAACGGTTTTAAAGGTTGACGACCGATGATGCTAAACGGATTTTACCCTTGCTAGAGCCTTCAAACAAGTTGTAAGTATAATTTTTAAAGTTTCCTTTCCATTTTAATAAATAAATTTTAAGTTTGAACTTAAAATATGGATGCACTTAACTATTAGATGCTAGTGTTTACTAATTCTTTAAAATCTATCAAATGGAATTAAATGTTAGGGTCGTATTACTACATTTTATCTGGACTATCACGTCAAAATTATGAATCGACAAATTCAAAATGGCCACCAGACAATCCTGGTTACTATGTGGACGAACTCAATTATTTACAGGGAACAAAGGTTAAATACTTATAAAATATTAACGAAACACACAAAAAAATTATAATTATAATAACTATACATTTTTATCAATTTATTTAAAATATAAGACACTAAATTTTAAGGACTAATGTGATTAATTTTTTTTTCTGTTGTGCACTATGATTCTGATTCCCCTGCTGAATAATGTGAAATGGTCTGCGCCAGTCTCCTTAATAAAATGTACCAGATCAATTTTTAGATGGTGATGCAATTTATTAAGATTGTACATGTTGTGACTTAGTTTTAAATGTTATATTAGTTGTAAGTGTAAGTAGTACTAGTAGTATTTCTCATTATTTATTTATTTTATATGCATATAGTAACAATGAAGGACAGTTAAGTTGTCCTATAGGATGTTGAGAACCACAGTATGGCACCTTCATCATTGGATATCTTAACCATTGTGGCACAAGCAACGATTATTTCATTCAATAGAATTAATATTAAAAATATACTATCAAGTATAAATTACTTTTAACAAAAAGGTGTTTTCAGGCTTTTCATATGTTTCCAGATACAGACATAGGACAAATAGTAGGCCTACACAATAGGCTAGTAGTAGATTTAATTATATGTTATTAATCCAGATGCGTAGCGCCCCTTCCCGGCGCCCGGGGACAAACTTTTGATTTGCACCCCCCCCCCCCCCGCCTCAAACTTCCGATTACTTTTTCCAACCCATTTTGGCGCCCCCTAAGGTCGACATATGTCCCCCCCCCCTGCCCCCCCCCCCCATCGCTACGCCTCTGGTCAGGGGCGTCGCGGAAATGACCGGCTACACTACCACAGGGAAACGGGTGCAAGCATTGGTTCGGTTTATCCATCGAGTGTAGAGGCCCACCGTGTCTTTCTTGAGGGTGCTCTTTAAAACGAATGTAGAGCTTTAGCGCCTGATGTCATCCGTCCATAAGGGGCGCTGGAGGCCGCCTCGGTTGCTGTTTGACCGTTGAATCCAGATGTACCCGCAGGATGCCTACCTGATCAGATGAAATCAGGTAGCCGATCGGAAACTCGAGGCTCCCCTTATTCGATTTAGTCATCGATTTTTAGTATCCCTCCTTATAGTTGTGTAAATATATTGTGGTCCCATACGTGTTACTGTCGTCTAGATGTGATGAGTTGTGTTAATATATTGTGGTCCCATAGGTTTAACTATCGTCTAGAATACCTAGATGAGTACTTTCATTGTAGTCGAGGCGACGGACGTGACACTCAAATTAATCCAATTATCATATAGGTTGGAAAATAACAATTACTACAAACATCTGCAGTGGAGTTGCACCTCCATTATTCCCTCCATTATTCCCGTTTATTCCCTTCATTATTCCCGTTTATTCCCGTTTAGGTGAGAGCCGCCGATTGGAGAACAGTGTTTCTTCCAGACATTTTTCTCCGGGGGGGGGGGGGGGGCACTTGAAATTTTCGGGGGGGGGGGGGGGTAGGTTTTCTTCGGGGAGGGCGGACACTGTTAAAAGTATATAATTTCTATATGAATTATATAAATTTCATTTCGTTCCAGGGGGGGGGGCGGTAGAAGAGATGCCTGGAAGAAACTCTGTTGGAGAAGCTACCTGAGCCACGGCTCAAGTAGTTAATGAAACAATCGGCCCTAAATTTTTCAGATTCAACAACAGTTAACCAAGAACTAACTGAAGAAGAATGACCAGACAATATTTTTTTTTTTTTGTGTTATATAATTTGTTGTGTTTATTCAAAGCTGGAATTTTGTAAGCATAAAATGCACAATGAACACGATTTTAAAAACAATAAGACCAATACTTTAAAATCTGGCGTCGCTCAGTGAACATATCAAGTTTGCGAATAGTATATACATTAGATTTCTCCAGGGGTTAAGTCCAATTATATATAACATCTGACATTCTGCACGAGTGAGCAAGACTCAAATCTTCCGAGAATTTAAAAATAATTTAAGCTGGTCTGGATGATAAATGATACATGACTTGGTAACTATACTCAAAAAAAAAAGTAAAAAATAAAAATGATGACATTGCAACTTGGATGAAAATCTTGTGAGTCCTTGATGCTTTTATCTGCTGAAAATAGTTGAATAAATCACCAACCACGGCCACGATCGTTTCCATTAACAATTTCAACTCCAGCATCTTGAATAAGCCTTTTTGCTTCAGAAATAGCGTTTTTGCTCCCAGATAACTCAACAGAACTTCTACCAGATGAGTCGCCATCACGTGACACCTTTATCCGACAACCACTGTCTGCTTCCATGTCTCGTATTCTGCTTCCACCACGACCGATGATTCTGCCTACTTCAGATGACTCAACATAAATTGTTTCAGATTCGCCACCACCATCACCTCCAAAGCCTCTACCACCGCCGCCACCACCACCACGGCTTCCTCTATCATAATCATCTCGCCTACCCCATCCATCGCCGCTATCACGTTCTCTTCTGCCCCATCCTCCACCGTCATCTCTTCTGCCATATCCTCCTCCACCACGTCCTCCACGCCCCCCGCCATATCCACCACGTCTACCTCCACCACCATTATAATCACCACCACTAAGGCATTCTTCAATTAGTCTCTTGGCATTTTCAATCTCTTCCGTTGTTCCACTGATTTCAACAGATTTCATTCCATCCTCATCCTCATCTCTGGATATTTTGATTCTGGCATTACTGTCTTGTTCTAGATCTCTGATTTTACTTCCACCACGACCTATGATCTTTCCCACATTTGAAGACTCAACCATCATTGTTGTTGAACTTACGCCGCCACCACGGCCTCCGCCAAAAGATCCGCTAAATGACATTTTGTCTAGATGTGTTGAGAACGCTACAACTCTGGAACTGTGATATTTGCAATGGACCAGACAATATTAAATGCAGAAATGTAGGCTTTAACTACACAATCAGGTCAATGAAATAAAATGTAATGTCGCTTTTTATAAAAGAAATATTAAATAAAATAGTTAACGTTTCTAAAAAAAATGTTAAACTAATTATCATGTTTGAAAGACAAATGTAAATAGTTATTAGATTGATGTTATTTCCCACACTATTTTTTTTATAATAGAAGAATAAACACTAAAAATTATCACAAATTTAATTTTTTCAACTGTATGGTATTTTTTAAACAACGGAAAAAAGTTAAATGTTATCTCCCTTGGAATACAAAAAACCCCGAACAATATTTTGATTTAAAACTATAAGTTTCTAATATATCTTATTTTTATTTTTTAATATTAAATAATATGAAGTAGGCGAATGAAGTAGGTAAATTAAGAACAATGGCAAAACTACAGAGTCAGCCAACAGTGAACTGGTTGTATCATAAAGGCCCGGGAAATTTAATAAAGGGGGGGGGCCCATACCCCTGGCTGAAATTTTCATTGTGCATCTTCCTCCATTAAAAATCTGCATTTTACACGTCTGCTTTGAGTTAAAATAGTAAAATTAAGAAACACCAACACAGTATTTATTACAGCACCGTTCATGTGGGCCGATGAGATTTTTCCTCTGTTAATTGGTTGACTGAAAATTTATTATGTTCGCTTTGAGGATAATCTGAAAAAAAAGTTGAGTGCATTTTACTATAAACTAGATCTAGTTTATTTTTAATCATCATATATATATATATATATATATATATATATATATATATATATATATATATATATATATATATATATATATATAGGGTCTATTTAAATATATGGAATACGAAATGTGTGCTTTGACATATTTCGTGACTGTTCATTTGTAGATTCCCCCAGAGAAGAAAAAAAAAAGATTAAAAACTACTCTCACGACTTACTTAAAACTTCTTTGCAATATCGCTAATTTACTCCAATGCAAGATTATTAATTTTAAAAAATCAATGCGATGGACATTTACATTAATTCATTATTAAACATTTCAGCATTTAAAAATAAAACGTCCGTTAAGTAGGCTTTACTTAAAAATTAGGTCATCTTGTCGAATCTCGGACAGTGTTTCTTCCAGACTTTTTTCTCCGGGGGGGGGGGGGGGGCGGACACTGTTAAAAGTATATATTTTCTATATAAATTATATAAATTTCATTTCGTTCGGGGGGCGGTAAAAAATTTTCGGGGGGGCTCCGCCCCCCCGAAGAGATGCCTGAAAGAAACTCTGATCTCGGATCTCTTTAACCCTCCCCCCATCCCCATTTAACTCTTTTAACTACACACCTACACACTTTATGTTATTTTAAGTGTTCGTGTTGTCTTAAACGACAAGGGTGAACACAATTCACGCATTTAAAAAACCCAACCCAAACAAGACAAACGTGTCCATCCAGAGGCGTTGCGACCCTTCCCGGCGCCCGGGACAAACTTTTCGATTTGCACCCCCCCCCTCAAACTTTCGATTTGCACCCCCTTTCAAGATTTCGATTTGCACCCCCCCCCCACCCCTCACACTTTCAATTTGCATCCCCCTCCACCTTAAATTATTTATTCCATAGCTGGAGACATTTATGGTGGCCTATCCAGAAATTTCCTTACAAGGGAAGGGAAGAAGGCCAAGCCCCCCCCCCCTACAGATCCCAAAACATATCACTTACTCTTGATGCTCCACAAGATCAAGGTTGAGGGAAACAAGACATACAAAGATGTGGAGTTGTCGTTTTAAAAACTGTTCCCCCAAAGCAGTTATCAACCTGATAGGTTTGAATGTAGCTTCAACTGCTGCATCACTTGTAGGCATCACGTCTTTATTAAATTACATTACATTACTCCACTAAATTTTGATTCTGTTTCTCCTGCACTAGATAACTGTGGCATTTTTTAAAATAATATTTTATCTCATGTGATTTTTTAAAATAATGAGCACATTCTTCCTGTTAATGTTACCAACACAATAGTTTTAGAGTTATTCTATGTCCAAAGAAAAAAAAATTGAATTTTTTTTTGTATGAAAATAAAAGTGACCAAAACGCATTTTTGTCATTTTCAATTATTTGTTTTACCTTAGAAAGACTCATTTTAGATGACTGAAAAAAAATTGGGCATATATATTATAAACTTTGCAGTAACTTTACCAATTTCTACACTTCTATGTTATTTAGTTTAGAAAATATGGGTTCTCAAAAATGGCACTTTTTGAAAATCAGTTTTTTACCAAATTTTGCTTTTTTAAAAACCGCATAACTTTTTTATTTATTGAGATATTTTTATAAAATTTGTGGCATAAAGCTTACAATTAAAAGTTCTTTCATGACATACTCACTCCAGAAGTCTGCAATCAATAGTTAATTTCAGTTTGGACTACCTATATATATATATATATATATATATATATATATATATATATATATATATATATATATATATATATATATATATATATATATATATATATATATCCCTATAGTTGATTCATATGTAAACTGTGAATGACGTGATGCTATTATCATATTTTGGAAACGAATGCTTAAAGTTGCCGGACTATGAGTACTTGTTCCCAGTTGAAGATGAAGCATGTATTGTTAACAATCCCTTCAGAACAAGTCAAGTAATGCATCAGTAGCATAACTGCTTTTAAAAGGCGTATGACGTTTTATAGAGTCATGTCCCCTGCAACGTCAAATTATTCTGCAATCCAACTATTTCTAGCTTTTATGCTATCCTAGGCTAATATTTGAACTTGACTTTAGAGATTGATTACGTTCCTGTTTGAAACTCATCTAATACGCATGTTTATAAGGAGTTAAATAATTTCCTTATTTGTAACATTCAAATATAAAAATGTCGATTTGTTATTTGAGACCAGAGTTTATTTTTATAAATTAACAATGGACATGTCATCCAGAGTGTCATGTTAATGAAAGTTTATTTTGTGTTTTATTTATCTATATATATAATTCTCTTCTTCGAGCCGTTAGAAAACAAGCTGCAAACGCTCTCCCTACCTCCCCACCCCTACATGGTTTTAGTGAGCTGTGTTCACTCTAAATGTTTACAAGCAGAGCCAACGATTTTAAACGTAGGGGGGGGGGGGAGGAGGGGGGGAGGGAAGGAAGGGGGGGGGGGTTATGGTCCTTAACGAGCTACTTATAGTGTTTTAAAGAAATATTTTCAGTGTCGGCGTTGGTACTGTCGAATTCACAAATTATGAATTATTGAAAATTAGAAACAACTAAATAGCGGCGTATGTTATGCCGCGGGCCGGCTCGTTATTATTATTTGATGAACATTTTTATAACAAATAATTGGTTGTTAATATGTTTAATATTACCGATTTGAGATTATATCACAAAGTCTTTCAACTGAGTACATGCGAAAATTAAAAGAATAAATAACGGAAGCTACATTTCACGGTGTCGTGTTGTTAGTTAACACCTATTAGAAATATACTTTCGCCGTTTCAAAGACACATGAACGATCATAGATTATTCCTAGATCAGCCCAATTCCTAAATTGCGTTGTAAGTCTTGACATCTCGAATTTTTAAGTGCAAAACGAGACAAGCCGTTGAATCAGAGAATTTGAAAACTAAGACTTAGTAATCTGCTGAAACCTCCAATCCTAAAGAATTTTAAATAAATGGTAGTTGATCTGTGGTAACACACTGTTTGTTTTACAATTGATAAACGTTTCTCTAAAGGAAATGTTACAAAACAATTTATAATTGGATCATTTTATACACATTCCTCCGTCAATAGTCATAAACATCAGTCACCAAATTCGAATAAACATTTTTAATGCACATCTTCAGATGTATCTAGTAAACCAACATAAATAGGTTTTTTTTTTATGAAAGAAATATTTCTAAGCACTTTTGATACCAAAATGTTCACAGGCCATTTTCCTGAGAATTTTTCTGGCCACCTTGCCTGTACTGTTGACAGGAAAGCTGTTTGTGATGTAGAACTTTCCTGTGTTGAAGTCGGAGATGGCAACCCCGCCCACAAACATGGCGTCGAAGTAAGATTTCAGGTCGTCCACGGTCAGGCTAGAGTCCTTCTTGGGCACGACACAAATACAAACATCTTCAGCGGCTGTGGTGTTGGGGATACCTAGAGAGTCACGACACAAATACAAACATCTTCAGCGGCTGTGGTGTTGGGGATAGAGTCACGACACAAATACAAACATCTTCAGCGGCTGTGGTGTTGGGGATACCTAGAGAGTCACGACACAAATACAAACATCTTCAGCGGCTGTGGTGTTGGGGATAGAGTCACGACACAAATACAAACATCTTCAGCGGCTGTGGTGTTGGGGATACCTAGAGAATCACGACACAAATACAAACATCTTCAGCGGCTGTGGTGTTGGGAATAGAGTCACGACACAAATACAAACATCTTCAGCGGCTGTGGTGTTAGGGATACCTGGAGAATGTTCGAGAAAGAATGGCTTGTTCAGATAGGTTGAGAGGACCAACATTACAGTTGAGCGTCGCCGAAAAATAACGATGTGTTACAAGAGTTGTCTGTTGGAACAGGTACTCAGAGCTGGATTCAGCATTAGTAAATGCAGGTGAACTTACTTGAGGCATCAAAGAAAGATTGGTGAAAGGGGGTTGACACCACCAAAATGATCATTTTGTAATTTTTATTAAAATATTTTGTATAGATTGCAGATATAATATCTATTGTAATTTTAGAAGCAAAGCTGTTTAGAAACTATTAGACCAAAGTCTTAAATATGATAGAACATTTGGTGCCAGACAAAGATTTTACTGAGACAACAGCTGCCGGTGTTCCGGCATAGTGACGTCAGTACTCACCAACAACGTAGACGGAAGCGACCCCGGGGCATGCGCGGAACCTCTCCTCGATCCAGCAGGGGTACAGCACCATCGTGCCGCACATGATGGACTCTGACGTCCTAGCGATGACGTATAGCTGGCCGTCTTCACTGTGTGATTACGTCACTCATATTTTTAAGGCGTTCTGCATTAAGGACTAATAGAACCGTATAGCTAAACAAAATAAAATCAGTTGCGTCTTAGAATAATTAAGCGAACTGATTTACAAATTTGTAAGAATAGTTAAAATCAATAGTTCATGTCGAGACCACCACCCAATGCATCTATCTGAATCATCATCTTTTCCCGCTCGTGCCCAAGACACAAGGGGCAGATGAAATAGACTTCATCTGTTTCAGAGACCTCGGCATATGAAGGAATAGTGTGGTCAGCACTATTCCCAGACGCCTTTTTCCCCCTAACATAAGTTAGGTACCCATCAGAGTTGGGTAGACTCAGGGACAAATTCTACTGACTTGAACCCGGATTCGAACTCGAGACTTTCGGGTTAGCTTCGACACGCCGTCCCATCCATCTGAATACCTATTCCCAACAGATTTTCTTCTAGGCATCTCTTCGGGGCGGATCCCTCACCCCCCCCCCCCCCCTTCCCCGAAGGAAATCTACACTCCCCCCGAACGAGATGGAGTTTTTATAGTAAACATATACTATTATTAGTGTTCGCCCCCCCCCCCTCCGAAAATATCAAGTGCCCCCCCCCCCCCCCACGGAGAAAAAAGTGTGGAAGAAACACTGATCCCCAATTAGTGTTAATTACACTCAAGATTCCCCGTACCCACAAATCATTTCTGAAAACACCTACTCTAGATATGCAATGTCTCCAGTATCAAGCCAACCATCATCAGTAAAGACGTTCTGTGTTGAACTCTCATTGTTCATGTAGTGTCTCATTACTGATCCACCTGTATGATACACGGAACGTTTGCATGCACGATACATAGAGCAGTTGGCTACAGTCTTATATACTACCTACAGAAGTGGGTACTTAAATGGCCTTTAGATTGTATGTCAAATATTAATTTCTTACTAAAGAATTATTTACTAAAGTTGTATAAATAATACACATCACTAAATGCGAATTATAACTGGTACTATATATAATCACCGACCCACCACTGAACCACCGACCCAATGTACTCACCACTGAACCACCGACCCTAGTACTCACCACTGAACCACCGACCCCATGTACTCACCACTGAACCACCCACCCAATGTACCCACCACTGAACCACCGACCCCATGTACTCACCACTGAACCACCGACCCCATGTACTCACCACTGAACCACCGACCCACCACTGAACCACCGACCCCATGTACTCACCACTGAACCACCGACCCAATGTACTCACCACTGAACCACCGACCCAATGTACTCACCACTGAACCACCGACCCACCACTGAACCACCGACCCTAGTACTCACCACTGAACTACCGACCCCATGTACTCACCACTGAACCACCGACCCCATGTACTCACCACTGAACCACCGACCCAATGTACTCACCACTGAACCACCGACCCAATGTACTCACCACTGAACCACCGACCCACCACTGAACCACCGACCCTAGTACTCACCACTGAACTACCGACCCCATGTACTCACCACTGAACCACCGACCCCATGTACTCACCACTGAACCACCGACCCAATGTACTCACCATTGAACCACCGACACCATGTACTCACCACTGAACCACCCACCCAATGTACTCACCACTGAACCACCGACCCACCACTGAACCACCGACCCAATGTACTCACCATTGAACCACCGACCCAATGTACTCACCACTGAACCACCGACCCACCACTGAACCACCGACCCCATGTACTCACCACTGAACCACCGACCCTAGTACTCACCACTGAACCACCGACCCCATGTACTCACCACTGAACCACCGACCCCATGTACTCACCACTGAACCACCGACCCCATGTACTCACCACTGAACCACCGACCCCATGTACTCACCACTGAACCACCGACCCCATGTACTCACCACTGAACCACCGACCCCATGTACTCACCACTGAACCACCGACCCCATGTACTCACCACTGAACCACCGACCCCATGTACTCACCACTGAACCACCGACCCCATGTACTCACCACTGAACCACCGACCCCATGTACTCACCACTGAACCACCGACCCCATGTACTCACCACTGAACCACCGACCCCATGTACTCACCACTGAACCACCAACCCAATGTACTCACCACTGAACCACCCACCCAATGTACTCACCACTGAACCACCGACCCAATGTACTCACCACTGAACCAACGACCCCATGTACTCACCACTGAACCACCTACCCTAGTACTCACCACTGAACCACCGACCCCATGTACTCACCACTGAACCACCGACCCACCACTGAACCACCGACCCCATGTACTCACCACTGAACCACCGACCCCATGTACTCACCACTGAACCACCGACCCACCACTGAACCACCGACCCCATGTACTCACCACTGAACCACCGACCCAATGTACTCACCACTGAACCACCGACCCAATGTACTCACCACTGAACCACCGACCCACCACTGAACCACCGACCCTAGTACTCACCACTGAACTACCGACCCCATGTACTCACCACTGAACCACCGACCCCATGTACTCACCACAGAACCACCGACCCAATGTACTCACCATTGAACCACCGACACCATGTACTCACCACTGAACCACCGACCCACCACTGAACCACCGACCCCATGTACTCACCACTGAACCACCGACCCTAGTACTCACCACTGAACCACCGACCCCATGTACTCACCACTGAACCACCGACCCTATGTACTCACCACTGAACCACCGACCCCATGTACTCACCACTGAACCACCGACCCCATGTACTCACCACTGAACCACCGACCCCATGTACTCACCACTGAACCACCGACCCCATGTACTCACCACTGAACCACCGACCCCATGTACTCACCACTGAACCACCGACCCCATGTACTCACCACTGAACCACCGACCCCATGTACTCACCACTGAACCACCGACCCCATGTACTCACCACTGAACCACCAACCCCATGTACTCACCACTGAACCACCGACCCCATGTACTCACCACTGAACCACCAACCCAATGTACTCACCACTGAACCACCCACCCAATGTACTCACCACTGAACCACCGACCCAATGTACTCACCACTGAACCACCGACCCCATGTACTCACCACTGAACCACCTACCCTAGTACTCACCACTGAACCACCGACCCCATGTACTCACCACTGAACCACCGACCCACCACTGAACCACCGACCCCATGTACTCACCACTGAACCACCGACCCCATGTACTCACCACTGAACCACCAACCCAATGTACTCACCACTGAACCACCCACCCAATGTACTCACCACTGAACCACCGACCCAATGTACTCACCACTGAACCACCGACCCCATGTACTCACCACTGAACCACCTACCCTAGTACTCACCACTGAACCACCGACCCCATGTACTCACCACTGAACCACCGACCCACCACTGAACCACCGACCCCATGTACTCACCACTGAACCACCGACCCAATGTACTCACCACTGAACCACCGACCCCATGTACTCACCACTGAACCACCGACCCAATGTACTCACCACTGAACCACCGACCCCATGTACTCACCACTGAACCACCTACCCTAGTACTCACCACTGAACCACCGACCCCATGTACTCACCACTGAACCACCGACCCACCACTGAACCACCGACCCCATGTACTCACCACTGAACCACCGACCCCATGTACTCACCACTGAACCACCGACCCACCACTGAACCACCGACCCCATGTACTCACCACTGAACCACCGACCCAATGTACTCACCACTGAACCACCGACCCAATGTACTCACCACTGAACCACCGACCCACCACTGAACCACCGACCCTAGTACTCACCACTGAACTACCGACCCCATGTACTCACCACTGAACCACCGACCCCATGTACTCACCACAGAACCACCGACCCAATGTACTCACCATTGAACCACCGACACCATGTACTCACCACTGAACCACCGACCCACCACTGAACCACCGACCCCATGTACTCACCACTGAACCACCGACCCTAGTACTCACCACTGAACCACCGACCCCATGTACTCACCACTGAACCACCGACCCTATGTACTCACCACTGAACCACCGACCCCATGTACTCACCACTGAACCACCGACCCCATGTACTCACCACTGAACCACCGACCCCATGTACTCACCACTGAACCACCGACCCCATGTACTCACCACTGAACCACCGACCCCATGTACTCACCACTGAACCACCGACCCCATGTACTCACCACTGAACCACCGACCCCATGTACTCACCACTGAACCACCGACCCCATGTACTCACCACTGAACCACCAACCCCATGTACTCACCACTGAACCACCGACCCCATGTACTCACCACTGAACCACCAACCCAATGTACTCACCACTGAACCACCCACCCAATGTACTCACCACTGAACCACCGACCCAATGTACTCACCACTGAACCACCGACCCCATGTACTCACCACTGAACCACCTACCCTAGTACTCACCACTGAACCACCGACCCCATGTACTCACCACTGAACCACCGACCCACCACTGAACCACCGACCCCATGTACTCACCACTGAACCACCGACCCCATGTACTCACCACTGAACCACCAACCCAATGTACTCACCACTGAACCACCCACCCAATGTACTCACCACTGAACCACCGACCCAATGTACTCACCACTGAACCACCGACCCCATGTACTCACCACTGAACCACCTACCCTAGTACTCACCACTGAACCACCGACCCCATGTACTCACCACTGAACCACCGACCCACCACTGAACCACCGACCCCATGTACTCACCACTGAACCACCGACCCAATGTACTCACCACTGAACCACCGACCCCATGTACTCACCACTGAACCACCGACCCAATGTACTCACCACTGAACCACCGACCCCATGTACTCACCACTGAACCACCGACCCTCCACTGAACCACCGACCCCATGTACTCACCACTGAACCACCGACCCTCCACTGAACCACCGACCCCATGTACTCACCACTGAACCACCGACCCTCCACTGAACCACCTACCCCATGTACTCACCACTGAACCACCAATGTACTCACCCCTCAGAAACAGCTTGCCCTGTTGACACGGCTCTGTGACCGGACTGTTTGTAACCTCAGATAAGACTTTCAGTTCCGTCCCTGGCTTCAAACGGTCTCCGGCATAACCGTCCTTCACCTTGTCCTGGGTGACGACACATCAACAAACCAACATCAGCAAAAACATAAAGCAAGTTGTATCTTATGGAAACCTAGGAAATTAAAACAATCATGGTCGCATTTTGTATTGGAATAAAAAAATAATGATATTAATAATAGTAAAAATAATAATAATAACAATAATAATAATAAGGCCAATAAAAACAATTATAATAATATGCAACAGAAATAGTTTATATGCGAGTCATGTGGTTTTAATTTTTTTTTAAACATATTAAAATAATAAATGTATGTAACGTTACTAAAGTTATTTTCATTATAATATGTTGGGTGTTGTTTTCACCATATGTTGGTGGTGTTGTTTTCACCATATGTTGCTGTTGTTGTTTTCACCATATGTTGGTGTTGTTGTTTTCACCATATGTTGGTGTTGTTGTTTTCACCATATGTTGGTGTTGTTGTTTTCACCATATGTTGATGTTGTTGTTTTCACCATATGTTGGTGTTGTTGTTTTCACCGTATGTTGGTGTTGTTGTTTTCACCATATGTTGCTGTTGTTGTTTTCACCATATGTTGCTGTTTTTATTTTCACCTTATGATGGTGTTGTTGTTTTCACCGTATGTTGTTGTTGTTGTTTTCACCATAAGTTGGTGTTGTTGTTTTCACCATATGTTGGTGTTGTTGTTTTAAATCTATAACGTTGATGTTGTTGTTTACACCATATGTTGTTGTTATTTCAGTTGATGGTCAGTTGATGAGTCCCAGTATAGCTGCTCTATCCCCCGTGGCAAGGATCAAGTTGCCAGATAAATTGTTAAACACTCTTCGCACCAACCACATTTGAGTCAAAGTCCGTGCTGCCTAAAGCTACAGACCAATCACTTATCTGTACTTTGTAGATTGGGTCTCTAGGTGACGCGCAGGTCTCTAGGTAACTATTTCTAATTATTTGTGGTGCTTTTAATTTCATCATTTGTAGATTACTCATCTTCTAACAGCAGTGCGGGTAGAATGATGGCCTTCCTCATCATGTGGTCAAACAGGTCGACCTTCCCTTTTGAATGTCCCAACAGTTGTAGTAGAATGATGGCCTACCTTGTTGTGTGGGCCCACAATTCCATACGACACAAAGCCTGTTTCTGTCGACCCGTAGAGAGAGGTCACCTTCTCGGTCATGTAGCCAACTAGGTGAAATATGACCTGAAACAACAGGTAAAATATGACCTGAAACAACAGGTAAAATATGACCTGAAACAACCAGGTGAAATATGACATGAAACAACTGGTGAAATATGATCTGAAACAACCAGGTGAAATGACCTGAAACAACCAGGTGAAATATGACCTGAAACAACCAGGTGAAATATGACCTGAAACAACAGGTGAAATATGACCTGAAACAACAGGTAAAATATGACCTGAAACAACAGGTAAAATATGACCTAAAAAAACAGGTAAAATATGACCTGAAACAACAGGTGAAAAATGACCTGAAACAACAGGTAAAATATGACCTGAAACAACAGGTAAAATATGACCTGAAACAACAGGTAAAATATGACCTGAAAAAACAGGTGAAATATGACCTGAAACAACAGGTAAAATATGACCTGAAACAACAGGTAAAATATGACCTGAAACAACCAGGTGAAATATGACCTGAAACAACAGGTGAAATATGACCTGAAACAACAGGTGAAATATGACCTGAAACAACAGGTGAAATATGACCTGAAACAACAAAGTGAAATATGACCTGAAACAACAGGTGAAATATGACCTGAAACAACCAAGTGAAATATGACCTGAAACAACCAGGTGAAATATGACCTGAAACATCAGGTGAAATATGACCTGAAACAACCAGGTGAAATATGACCTGAAACAACAGGTAAAATATGACCTGAAACAACCAGGTAAAATATGACCTGAAACAACCAGGTAAAATATGACCTGAAACAACAGGTGAAATATGACCTGAAACAACCAGGTAAAATATGACCTGAAACAACAGGTGAAATATGACCTGAAACAACCAGGTGAAATATGACCTGACACAACAGGTGAAATATGACCTGAAACAACCAGGAGAAATATGACCTGAAACAACAGGTGAAATATGACCTGAAAAAACAGGTAAAATATGACCTGAAACAACAGGTGAAATATGACCTAAAACAACTGGTGAAATATGACCTGAAACAACAGGTAAAATATCTAAATTAACCAGTTAAATTAAAAATACGTTGGCACTGTGATTTTTATTTTAATGCTTTTAGCCCACACAAATAAAATAAAAAACAAGTGTAAAGAAGTGTTATTTAATATAAAACATGAGGTATTACCTGGCCAATAGGCTGTCCAAAAGTGACCAGATTTTTCAGCATTGTGTGCGTAAATCTGCCGTCATCATATCCCTGAAACGAAAACGGTGGGTCACTTGATAAGAGCTTAATGAGAATGTTACCCTATGGTTATAATATGTGCGATAAGTCTTTCAAATAACATTGGTTTTCATAAAATTAGATAGATAGCAATAGCTAGATTTCTTAACGACCAAGCACGGCAGTGACGTCCAATGTAAGGATTGGTCAGTGAAGTACAGTACCATGTTAGTAAACAGAAGGGACAGGTGCTGCCTCGAGTCGGAACTGAACCCGAGACTTTCGGTTTGGTTGTTGAGTACTTTAGCCCTCGGCCGCATCGATCATAGGAGAAATGCAAGACACGAGTGCCAGTCGATGTTACTCATTAACCTGACGAGAACTAAGATGAGGTCTACAGCAAGTGTGTGACTCACCATCTTGACTTGATGTGTACAGCAGGACTGGTGTGTGACTCACCTCCTTGACTTAAAGTGAGGTGTACAGCAGGTGTGTGTGACTCACCTGCTTGACTAGCAGGATGTCCTCTGGCAGCATCATGGCCACCGTCATGCCCCGCCCCACCATGTACTCCCACACATCCGTCACGCCTCTGGTGACCTCCAGCTGCTCCTGCATGTAGATTGTGACGCCCAGGGAAAGGTAAGGGTGGGGGTAACCCACGACCCACCCCAGGGCCCGATCACAGTAGATGACGTCATCCTTGTTTATAATGGTTTGTAAGTCATCGATGTAAAGATTCAAAATTTCTCTGTGACGGGAGCATAACACAATCTTTGTAAATGTTTTGCGAGCTGAATTATTTACTTAAACTAAATGGAATGAAGATCAGTCGAACGTTTCAATGCGAACTGTACTTAGGTTCAAAATTCTGTGCAATTGTATTCGAGATTATCAGATATGGTACCTGTGTGTGCAACCGGTGTGGTACCTGTGTGTGTACAACCGGTGTGATACCTGTGTGTATGTACAACCGGTGTGGTACCTGTGTGTGTGTACAACCGGTGTGGTACCTGTGTGTGTGTACAACCGGTGTGGTACCTGTGTGTGTGTGTACAACCGGTGTGGTACCTGTGTGTGCAACCGGTGTGGTACCTGTGTGTGTGTGTACAACCGGTGTGGTACCTGTGTGTGCAACCGGTGTGGTACCTGTGTGTGTGTGTACAACCGGTGTGGTACCTGTGTGTGTGTGTACAACCGGTGTGGTACCTGTGTGTGTGTGTACAACCGGTGTGGTACCTGTGTGTGTGTGTACAACCGGTGTGGTACCTGTGTGTGTGTGTACAACCGGTGTGGTACCTGTGTGTACAACCGGTGTGGTACCTGTGTGTGTGTGTACAACCGGTGTGGTACCTGTGTGTACAACCGGTGTGGTACCTGTGTGTGTGTGTACAACCGGTGTGGTACCTGTGTGTAAAACCGGTGTGGTACCTGTGTGTGTGTACAACCGGTGTGGTACCTGTGTGTGTACAACCGGTGTGGTACCTGTGTGTACAACCGGTATGGTACCTGTGTGTGTGTGTACAACCGGTGTGGTACCTGTGTGTGTGTGTACAACCGGTGTGGTACCTGTGTGTGTGTACAACCGGTGTGGTACCTGTGTGTGTGTACAACCGGTGTGATACCTGTGTGTATGTACAACCGGTGTGGTACCTGTGTGTATGTACAACCGGTGTGGTACCTGTGTGTACAACCGGTGTGGTACCTGTGTGTACAACCGGTGTGGTACCTGTGTGTGTGTGTACAACCGGTGTGGTACCTGTGTGTACAACCGGTGTGGTACCTGTGTGTGTGTGTACAACCGGTGTGGTACCTGTGTGTACAACCGGTGTGGTACCTGTGTGTGTGTGTACAACCGGTGTGGTACCTGTGTGTGTGTGCAACATGTGTGGTACCTGTGTGTGTGTGCAACATGTGTGGTACCTGTGTGTGTGTGTACAACCGGTGTGGTACCTGTGTGTGTGTGCAACATGTGTGGTACCTGTGTGTGTGTGCAACATGTGTGGTACCTGTGTGTGTGTGTACAACCGGTGTGGTACCTGTGTGTACAACCGGTGTGGTACCTGTGTGTGTGTGTACAACCGGTGTGGTACCTGTGTGTACAACCGGTGTGGTACCTGTGTGTGTGTGTACAACCGGTGTGGTACCTGTGTGTGTGTGTACAACCGGTGTGGTACCTGTGTGTGTGTGCAACATGTGTGGTACCTGTGTGTGTGTGTACAACCGGTGTGGTACCTGTGTGTGTGTGCAACATGTGTGGTACCTGTGTGTGTGTGTACAACCGGTGTGGTACCTGTGTGTGCGGGGTATCAGCTTAGAGAAGCCCGTTGACCCGGACGTTCTAAAGACATACGCCTCGTCCTGAGCCGTGACAGGAGCGGCGTAGAAGTCCTCGTCCTCTAGACTGGCGAGAAAGGCCGTGTGGTCTTCATGGCTGGTCAGTCGTAGGACGATGGCCTGACGCAGGCACGGGGCTCGGTCACACTTGATGGGGTACACGGCTTCATGTCTACAGACAAATATTTCTTGTGATAAAAATGATCTTGTGTTGACAACATAGCAACACGAATGAACAATGTAAATCAACGAAATACTTAACTTGTTTACAAGAACCAACATTAGTTCTTTCATTTCCGAATTCGTCAGAGGGCTCATTCACTATGCTAAAAGTTTAACATGGTTTGGCCTGCAAATTTTTGTCATAGAACTTCTAAAGATTGCCTTCCTTCTGTGTAAAACTCATATAGCCTACCTACCCTCTGTGTACAACTTGTACAACCTACTTACCTGTGTGTACAACTTGTACAACCTACCTACTGTGTACAACTTGTACAACCTACCCTCTGTGTACAACTTGTAGTACAACCTACCCTCTGTGTACAACTTGTACAACCTACCCTCTGTGTACAACTTGTACAACCTACCCTCTGTGTACAACTTGTACAACCTACCCTCTGTGTACAACTTGTACAACCTACCCTCTGTGTACAACGTGTACAACCGACCTACCCCTGTTCTTGACGTGAGTAGTCCCCAACCACGTATTTCCCCAGAAATTTGAGAGTTGGATCTCCAGAAGCTAAGACCAAAGACCGACAGTTTGAAGACTTGATTGACACGAAAAAATCCTCACCGTCTTGGAGGATGGCCTAAATAAACATTGGTGGTAGAAAACCCGTTGGTTTAGTTGGAAGTTGATGTTTGGCTTAACATTGGTAGGGATATGTTGATATAGAAAATTAGATAGTTCAAGGATAATTAGTTTAACCTCTTTGTCTATAATGAATACTCGTAGGGCCGATTTTTTATAAAAAAATAATAATAAATTAATTAAGATATCGTTTTACTATAATTATTTAATCAGTAGGTGAAGATAAGCTGTCCGTTAAAATAACGTGTTTAGCACGTTTTTGTTTTACAACAATTAAAATTCTTAAATCATTTCAGGACAAAATTAGAATGATCAAGAATGTTATTTTCAAACAAGACTAAACATATGAAGTCCCTCACACAAAGATCTTGCGATCACTTTACCGCTGTTGACAGTTTACTATATCATAGAGGTTAGTAACCATTAGTTGCTTGTGATGTTGCTAGTTCAATAGATGTAATAAATAAATTGTCTATTGACATTGCCCTAACGATACAAAACGCTGAATGAATTAAAAAATGTGTCGTGACCTCACGCTCTTACCTCATTGGTTAGGGTTGCACCCCCTGACATGATGATCCCAAAATCTGTGACGAGTCGGCTCCGTGAGTTGGGCAGTGAGTTGACCACCACATCCCCCACCTGGAATACAAGTGAAAACATATGGTATAACATCATCCCCCTCCCACCTGGAATACAGGTGAAAACATCTGGTATAACATCATCCCACACCTGTTATACAGGTGGCAACATCATCTGATATAACATCATTCCCCTAGTTATAACACGCACCCCCTTCAATCAAAAGCAGGTAACACTGCAGTAATCTTCTATACTAAATGCTGCTTTGTTGTAAGGGTGTACTTTACGTGCAGATTAAGTGTCTAAAACTGGACTTCTTTGTCTTTTTCTAATCTTAAAAAAACATCTTTATGATGTTGAAACAATCAAACAACTCAGTCTAAAACACCTTGACGCCATATCCACGAAGACGAGAAGCGAATCTCCCCGCCAAGTCCCACAACTGTACTCTAGTTAAGGGTAGCCGTTCCTGACTTCTGCCAATAAAGACGTAGCTCTCTCGAGACGGATCTTCTTGTGCACGGGCCTTAAGCAGGTTGATCACAGTATCGGCCCTTGAAAATATGGAAATTGTTACGGTTCTTCATTGACAGATTTTTGTCTGATTTTGTGAACATAAATTTGTAAAACTTAAAACTTTAAAACACACTTTAATGCTGTCGTTAAAAATATTGAATAACTATAAATGAGTTTTAGAAGTAGGCATAGACATATTTAAAGAACTGCCCTTAAATTTTAGCAGTGAAAATATTTAAGTGATTTTAATTCAATCTTAACTTTTGAGCGTGATAGAAAATATTTGGATCTTACGTCGAGTTAGGCTTATCCATCGCGATTGATCACACTTTTTTAATTAACTGCGTTAATGATGCACCAGTCTAAATTCGGAAGTCTCGAAATTTATTTTTTTAACTTGATGTTTTAACTGCCACGTTCTGTCTTTAATGATTTTTTAGGAGAAATTGTCACACTTGTTTTATAATTGTCACACTTGTTTCTTGATGGTCACGCCTGCCAAAGATGATACGTCACGAATCCCAATACAAGCGCGTGACGTGAGATTGCTCGTCTGATTACATGAAGTTGTTGTTTTGAGTGTGCTGGAGGAATTTGCTCTGCAGTCTGGCTCTTGTTCGTACACTTGTTGTTGTTGTTAGGTATATCTACGGTGTTTGTTTCATTACAACAGACGCATTTTATTTATATTGTTTTCTTTAATCACATGGTTGTTTTAGTTCAAAAACCAGAGGCACATAATTATAATTGCATATAATAATTTATACTGGTTTGGGTAAGTTTATATGCATATATATATATATATATATATATATATATATATATATATATATATATATATATATATATATATATATATATATATATATATATATATATATATATATATATATATATATGTGTGTGTGTGTGTGTGTGTGTGTATAATTGTGTGTGTGTGCATGCGTGCGTTTGTGTGTGTGTGAGTATATATATATATATATATATATATATATATATATATTTATATGTGTGTGTGTGTGTGTGATTGTGTGTGTGTGTGTGGTTTTGGTTGCTGTTGATAGATGATCACAGATGAGGCATGAGTGTTGTTCAACAACGTGGTTTGGTTGTTGATAACAGAAGGTACTAGGTTTTCTTTTTTACTCACAAATAAAATAATAAGATAACAGCCGATTCAAATGTGCTATATCCTCTCTGCAAGTCCATCTAGATTCTGTCTTTTTCAGAGTTTCTTCCAGGTATTTCTTCTGGGGGTCAGAGCCCCCTGAATAAAGTCTAACCCCCCCCCCTCGAACGAAATGAAAATTATATAGAAAATATATACTTTTAACAGTGTCCGCCCCCCCCCCCCGAAGAAATACAGACATTTGTCCTGTAAAAGACAGACAAATGACATTGGTACTGTCATAGATATACCTATGACATTTGTGCTGATACATCTTGACCCATGACATTTGTCCTCTAACAGACTGACCCCTGACCTTTGCACTGTAACAGATTGACCCCCTAAGATGACACCTGTAACGACCGACTTAGCCCGCCATCACTGGCTGTCCCTAGTGTGATCCTGTAAGCCGGTATTGCTCTAAACCCCCAGGAGAACATTGTTTTCACAGGGGAGACAACACCACTAAGTGGATGTAATCAATCAAAACTAAGTTGTCCTTCCTTGTCGCCATCACAAGAAAAGATGGGCCAGTATGGAAGGTGAATGTGAATTGTTTCGAATCTTTCGCCTTTTGATATTTGCTTTACATTGTTTAAAACTATTCTATGTTCGACACATCATTGTCAGTGTCATCGTTATGAGAGACTCAAATCTTGATATTTATTCTACACACAATACATTCTTGACAGTTATTGAAAGCACAATACATTATTGATATTTATTTTACACACCATACATTCTTGACAGTTATTCTATATAAAATAAATTCTTGATAGGTACAACTAGCTGTGTACACAAACACACACACACACACACACACAAATATCAACAATATTTTGGTGAAAAATCCAAATTTTATTTTTTTAAGAATGAAGTTCTTAAAATAATGTAGACATCATCTAAAGGTAATAAGATCATGGGAAATCGAACAAAGCGTTTCCAAGTTTAATTTTCATTCATCTTAATTTTAACTTTTACAATTTCAGAAAAATTTGTTTCTAGTATGTTTAATTTCTTTTAATGAATAATTATGAATTTAAAGTTTTAAAAATAAATGATGTGTATGATCGTATCCATTAAGAACACAGAGAAAGCTGGTGTGAATGAGTTGCCTTGATTGTTCTGTGTATGAGGTGTTTTAGCTACCATGTTGTGTACATTAACTTAGCATGCGGGTGACCAACGATTTTGATGTCAAAGTGTCGTCGCATTGGTTGGTTTCTCAGCCCCATTTTGTTTCATAAAGAAAACATCGGTACGTTGATACGACTAAAGTTCAAGCGAAAGAGAAAGTACTTGATAAAAAGTCAAATCTATACTTAGATATATTATTTTTAACTGTAGTTAAAGAAAGAGGATTTAATATAAACAAGCAATCATCTTATTAGTTTTATTGAGATCTTTTAAAAAAATATTCGTAGGAAATGTTAATCCATTGTAATATATCGAATTGTACATTTATTTTAGACTATCTAAAAAAATATTCTAACAGGATTTGACTGTTCACTTTTAACTTTCTCAATCAGCCATACACGCAAATTTATCATAAGAAGTTTGACTTAGGATTAATCTTTCTACAAACAACTATTTCTTTCATAATATAATTCATAGATCCGTATTTTATATTTCTTTTTGTTTTTCATTGATGAAATATTTTTAAACACTGTCTTTAAAAATTTTACTGGAATTTTTATTAAAAAAAACTTTGATAGACAAAAAGATTAGAAATGTTAGAAGTCAAATGACGAAGAATTTATTTTAGTATAAAAGGATTAGCTGCACGTCAAACGTGAGTTAGCACCAAGAGCAGACTACCAGGGCAGGATCACGTGCAGATGTTGATGAACTCCTCCTGAGAAATCTTCCCCGCCGCGTTGACCTTCTGGAGGAGCGAGTCGTTCTCCTCTGGGCAGAACTCCTGCTGATCAGCGGCCAGCAGCTCGTCCAGTTCCTCCGTGCTGAGGTATCCTGGCTCGTGTTTGGAGTATTTGTTGAACAGTGCGGTCAGTGTCACGACCCTACATGGAGGAGAACGCCCATTCATTAAATTTATATGATTAGAATTCAATTTTTTTAAACTTGATTTTTTTATACTAATAAGACAAAAAGACACAGTAAGTAAATAATTATTAAAATTCTGGCGTGGAGAAGTTGTTACCAAAAGATAAAATGTAAGAGGCAAGTTGAAACACTAATGTCATTGTGCTGGCTGTGTTTATTAAGTAATTTTGGCCTTGACCTTGGACGATGGTACTCACCTATCTTGGACTTTCTGCATCCCGGCCTTGAACTCTTCCAAGGTTATCCTCTTGTCCCCGTCAGTGCCATCAAAGAATGTGAACACTTGCTGAGGAGGGCATGAACAATATGTTGGTGTGGACATGAACAATATGTTGGTGTGGACATGAACAATATGTTGGTGTGGACACGAACAATATGTTGGTGTGGGTTGTGTGGACATGAACAATATGTTGGTGTGGTCATGAACAATATGTTGGTGTGGACATGAACAATATGTTGGTGTGAACATGAACAATATGTTGGTGTGGACATGAACAATATGTTGGTGTGGACATGAACAATATGTTGGTGTGGACATGAACAATATGTTGGTGTGGGTTGTGTGGACATGAACAATATGTTGGTGTGGACATGAACAATATGTTGGTGTGGACATGAACAATATGTTGGTGTGGACATGAACAATATGTTGGTGTGGACATGAACAATATGTTGGTGTGGACATGAACAATATGTTGATGTGGACATGAACAATATGTTGGTGTGGACATGAACAATATGTTGGTGTGGACATGAACAATATGTTGGTGTGGACATGAACAATATGTTGGTGTGGGTTGTGTGGACATGAACAATATGTTGGTGTGGACATGAACAATATGTTGGTGTGGACATGAACAATATGTTGGTGTGGACATGAACAATATGTTGGTGTGGACATGAACAATATGTTGGTGTGGATAAGAACAATATGTTGGTGTGGACATGAACAATATGTTGGTGTGGACATGAACAATATGTTGGTGTGGGTTGTGTGGACATGAACAATATGTTGGTGTGGACATGAACAATATGTTGGTGTGGACATGAACAATATGTTGGTGTGGACATGAACAATATGTTGGTGTGGACATGAACAATATGTTGGTGTGGATATGAACAATATGTTGGTGTGGACATGAACAATATGTTGATGTGGACATGAACAATATGTTGGTGTGGACATGAACAATATGTTGGTGTGGGTTGTGTGGACATGAACAATATGTTGGTGTGGACATGAACAATATGTTGGTGTGGACATGAACAATATGTTGGTGTGGACATGAACAATATGTTGGTGTGGACATGAACAATATGTTGGTGTGGACATGAACAATATGTTGGTGTGGACATGAACAATATATTGGTGTGGACATGAACAATATGTTGGTGTGGGTTGTGTGGACATGAACAATATGTTGGTGTGGGTTGTGTGGACATGAACAATATGTTGGTGTGGACATGAACAATATGTTGGTGTGAACATGAACAATATGTTGGTGTGGACATGAACAATATGTTGGTGTGGACATGAACAATATGTTGGTGTGGGTTGTGTGGACATGAACAATATGTTGGTGTGGACATGAACAATATGTTGGTGTGGACATGAACAATATGTTGGTGTGGACATGAACAATATGTTGGTGTGAACATGAACAATATGTTGGTGTGAACATGAACAATATGTTGGTGTGGACATGAACAATATGTTGGTGTGGACATGAACAATATGTTGGTGTGGACATGAACAATATGTTGGTGTGAACATGAACAATATGTTGGTGTGGACATGAACAATATGTTGGTGTGGACATGAACAATATGTTGGTGTGGTCATGAACAATATGTTGGTGTGGGTTGTGTGGACATGAACAATATGTTGGTGTGGTCATGAACAATATGTTGGTGTGGACATGAACAATATGTTGGTGTGGACATGAACAATATGTTGGTGTGAACATGAACAATATGTTGGTGTGAACATGAACAATATGTTGGTGTGGACATGAACAATATGTTGGTGTGAACATGAACAATAAATTGGTGTGGGTTGTGTTGACATGAAAAGTATGTTGGGTAAAGTGACTATATATGGAGAGAGAGATTGTGTGTGAGCGTGCGAGAGTGTGAGTGAGTATCTCAGTTTATGTAAGTGCGTTTGAGAGAGTGAGTATGTGTATTGTCAGAGAGCGGCTGTGTAAGCGCGAATATATGAACACGTGTATGTGTGAATATGTTAGAAAGGAATGCTGTACAGATCCTTATGTGGGTAGTTACAATGAATGTTTTATTATTAGCTTAACATTTTCGCATTTTCAATTGCAGCTCAATACAAAAGCTAATGTATGCCGTTTTAATTAACATGACAAAAAAAACCGTTATGCACAATTTAAAAAAAAAGAACTTGCATACATAATAACTGGCTGGCCGTGTTGCCTAGCGACCAGTTGTTTATACCCACCTGGAGTTGGTCGTCTGTTATTGTGCTGTCTCCTTCCTCCAATAAACTCTTGAGCTCGTGAATATCCAGCGTCCCGTTGCTGTCTTTGTCGTACTTTAAGAACATCTCCTCCCATTGGCTGACTGATTTAGAGGCCATTGTCTTCTTACAAGAATTTTTTAAACTGAAATGTATAACAATATACAACAATTTAATGTAATGTAACACAATATTCAACAATTTAATTCAATTTAAAGCAATACACAACAATTTATTGTAATGTAATACAATATACAACAATTTAATGCAATTTAAAACAATATACAACAATTTAATGTAATGTAATACAATATACAACAATTTAATGTAATGTAATACAATATACAACAATTTAACGTCAACTTGACCTAAACTGTCTAGAAAACTGTCAATGTATAGGTATAAGGGCAAACCCTTATGGCGTCCCTGAGTCAACCCAGCCCTGATAAATACCTGATTCAAGTTAGGGCTGACCATACCATCCCATCCAATGGCAAGAACAAACAAACGGGTGAACTCGTCTAACCCCATGGACCACAAGGTCCGAAAATTTTACTTTTTCATATGCTATCAACATAAGATACCACACTTTACTTTTTCATATGCTATCAACATTAGGTACCACACTTTACTTTTTCATGTAATATCAAAATTAGGTACCACACTTTACTTTTTCATGTACTATCAACATTAGTTACCACACTTTACTTTTTCATGTACTATCAACATTAGATGCCACACTATTCAGTTTCGGACGTTAGCAATAGGGAATGGCTGCTAGCCACAACTCTAATTTCAAACCTAAGTTGAATGTGCTTCAGCTAAAATTAATGGATAATTAGTGTTATATTCTGAAGCATAAGGCTTCATATACACGAATTAACATCATAGATTGACTAAATCCCACGAGGGAGACTGTAAAAAGGGACATTAAAAGATTTTTAATGGTTAAAAATTAAGGGTGTCACTCCTTCACCATTTAGCAAATCGTATTTATCAACAGGCGCTGCACAATGTTATGAATCTTTAAGGCCATACATGTCAAGATCACCACGTAAAGAGCTTTAGCTTAACATCTGACCCCGTTCATATGCCATAACTCAATACATATTGCCCTCTGTCCATACATTCGTATTTTATTGATGAATCAACGGACGCCTGGGGGAATACAGCAGCTAAAAACTGCAATCACGCTAATACACATTCATAAACATGTGTCATGAACACAAAGGGAAATTACATCGCCATGTGTTTTTTTTTCTCTATAAGACCGAGTGGGGTCACAGCAGGTTAGTCAATAGCTCCCAGTCGGCCATTGTACTGGAGGCTAAACACTACACAAGTTTTAGAATTTCTATAAGAGGTAAACTTAAACTTGCACAAAACACTGCACAAGTTTTAGAATTTTAAAAATGGTAAACTTAAACTTGCACCAAACACTGCACAAGTTTTAGAATTTTAAAAATGGTAAACTTAAACTTGCACAAAACACTGCACAAGTTTTAGAATTTTAAAAATGGTAAACTTAAACTTGCACAAAACACTGCACAAGTTTTAGAATTTTAAAAATGGTAAACTCAAACTTGCACCAAACACTGCACAAGTTTTAGAATTTTAAAAATGGTAAACTTAAACTTGCACAAAACACTGCACAAGTTTTAGAATTTTAAAAATGGTAAACTTAAACTTGCACAAAACACTGCACAAGTTTTAGAATTTCTATGGGTAGCAAACTTAACATGTACAAAACACTGTTTTAGAATTTCTATTAGTTATTTCTATTTTTTTTTTGTTTGTTTGTTTTTAAATGCTGCTGTTATGTTCCTGCGTAGGTGTATCGTCGCTTAAAATCGAATTATTAGATTTTAATATTTTAAAATGTCGAAACCAGTTCTTTAAAAGCACTTTGTAACAAGAAAGAATAGTTTTTATTTTAAGGATGTTTCAGCTATATTTCACCCTATATCTCTACATAACACAATCATCTTTCATTCTTCACATAACACCACCCACCCCTCTATCTTCACATAACATTGCCCACTCCTCTATCTTCACATAACACCACCCCACCCCTCTATCCCCTCCTCACATTACCCACCCCCACACTAAAGTCACAATGGTCCACCACCACCATTAATTGAAAAGCACATCGCCAACTCCTCCCCCCACCCCGCAACAATTTACCCCCCCCCCCATCATATTGTCAAACCCCACAATCATTTGACGCCCCGACACGTCGCCCAACTCCACAACCATTTACCCTCCCCTACCTCTCCCAACACATTGCACACCCCTACAACTTTATACCCTCTCCTCCCAAACATATCGCCGAACTCAGCACGTCTTTACTCCTCCAAACACCTCTTTACGAAAATCTCAACCACACTCCAACAGGCGTGTGCTCCCTTATACATGCTCCCCTCAGCTCTAACCCTAATCCTCTAACCCTAATCCTCTAACCCTAATCATCTAATCTTAATCCTCTAACCCTAATCCTCTAACCCTAATCCTCTAACCCTAATCCTCTAACCCTAATCCTTTAACCCTAATCCTCTAACCCTAATCCTCTAACCCTAATTCTCTAACCCTAATCCTCTAACCCTAATCCTCTAACCCTAATCCTCTAATCCTAACACCACCCTTTCACAGAAAACCATCAGTGTAGCTGTGCATCATCACGAAAAAGTTCCGATAACCTATTAAAGCTCATAGACATGAACGCAAAAATATGAGACAAATAAGCAAAAAGGTCATGTGATTAATGTTCACGTGACTTTGTATGGTGGATGCTCGTTAATGAGTATAGTTTGTTAAAAATAGCTTAAACATATGTTGCTAATGAGCGCGATGACGTCATTCTATGAGTTGGCTGGTCGCTTGTGATAATTATCCTTTTGTGTGAGGAAATCATCAAACAAAATAAATATAAATTCTACTCCATCCTCGACTTCAAACTTGTGTTGCTTTGATTTCTGTCAAATGCAAATCGTTTCTAACACAGTTTAATATTCAGCTACTAACGTCAAAAAAGCACATAACAAGTATAGCTGTGTTTTTGTTGTTTTAAGACTTTTTATGTATACGTACTAGGTGTTATTTTGTTGTTGTTTTTTTAAATTCAACTGGTAGGACTGAGGTACCCAATTCAGTTGAGTTGGCTCAGGCACGTCCGATATTGAGAAAAAATGTAACGATTTCAAATTGAATTTACCGTTTCATGTAAGCAAACACTATACTACTCAATCAATCCAAAGCTAACACAAAACTATATATATATATATATATATATATATATATATATATATATATATATATATATATATATATATATATATATAACCCATCAACACGTTATATAAAAAGAAAGACTTGCTTCCCTTGACAAAACACCGAAGTGTTCAAGACGCCCATCTTGCTACTAATTGATTCCGGAAAGACTAAGCCATACAGATCGAAGCTTGGAGAAACAAGAATTTTTTTTTCTTTCCATGTTGAAGAAATTAGGACCATTATCCTGTGGGGCGGTAGACTTGATAGTGCTGGACAAGTTTGTATGACGGATGTGTTTGTATGATGGATGTGTTTGCGTGATGGATGTTTTTGTGTGATGCATGTGTTTGTGTGATGGTTGTGTGATGGATGTGTTTGTATGATAGATGTTTTTGTGTGATTGCTATGTGATGGGTGTGTGTTTGACATGTGTGTGTGTTGGACACGTTTGCGTAATGGGTGTGTATGTACAGTTAAGAATTAGGTGTTTAGGTTTATTTCCCTTGATATGAAATTTACTTTATAAATGACAAGGTCTTTTTACTCTAACATAAAATTTACTTAGGCTTAATCTTTTTACTTTGATATAAACTTTACTTTAGAAATGAGTAGGTCTTTTCACCTGATATAAACTTTACTTTAGAAATGACTAGGTCTTTTTACCTTGACTTAACTTTAGAAATGAAAAAACATTTAATCAGCTCACGAGAATTGTCGGGTATAGATTTCACGTGCGACACGTGCATGTTATAGTTCACGTGGACAAACAGAAAGACGGAGGGGGGGGGGAGGGGCTGGCGTAGTTCATTCATTACTCACTCGGCAGAGTTTGAGAGAGATTAATTTTGTAACAGGTTTTTCATTTAATGTATTCTTTTTTTTTTAAAGAAAAAAATACTTATTTTAATTTGAGAGAAAAAGTAAGTTGCAGGCAAGAAAATATATAGGCTACATTCCTAAAGGTCTAATCCTATAGTCCTTTTCCTACCCGTGTGGGTTTACTAACGTTCATCGACTTATCTGAAAATTAAAAAGTAACTCGGCAAAGTTAAGATAAACACAACCAACAGCGATTAACTTTTCCAGATTTTGTTAAGAAGGATGAAATACATGGATGTATCAAATACATGTTTTTCGAGGCATCTTTTGTGTGGGTATTTCATCCCACCCACCGCTTCACCAGCGACTACCTCACCCCCCCCCCCCTCCACTCACCATCCTCCTGTATCCGGTGGGTGAGAGTGAGAGGTTGATAATGTGAATGTCACACGTAAAAAGTAGAGAACATGTTATTAAAGAATATGTTAGAAGTTATCAGAACAATACTAGTCTTCAAGATCCCAAACATCAACAACAAACAAAGTACAAACTCACACACCAGCACATAACAACCCACACACGAGAATAGATGAGCACCTAACAACCCACACACCAGCACCTAACAACCCACACACAAGCACCTAACAAACCACACACAAACACTAAACAACCCACACACCATCACCTGACAACCCACACACCAGCATCTAACAACCCACACACCAGCACCTAACAACCCACACACCAGCACCTGACAAACCACACACCAGCACCTAACAACCCACACACCAGCACCTGACAACCCACACACCAGCACCTGACAACCCACACACCAGCACCTAACAAACCCACACACCAGCACCTGACAACCACACACCAGCACCTAACAACCCACACACCAGCACCTAACAAACCCACACACCAGCACCTAACAACCCACACACTAGCACCTAACAACCCACACACCAGCACCTAACAAACCACACACAAGCACCTGACAACCCACACACAAACACCAAACTTCAACCAGAATGTTTTAGAGAAAATGTAATCAATTACTTTTTTAACACGCCACTCAACACCATATGTAACATTTGGAATTCTATCCCGTTCTTTTTGGCTATGTGGATACTGGGGTAGGGGGAGGGGGAGGGGGGAAATACAAGGAATGGTAAAATAAATTGGACGTCCACCAGTTTGTTAAACGTGCCGAAGTGAATTAAGTAAAAAAGAAATCGATGAAATTTAACAAAGTGGAAAATTTATTTTACGCATGCATACGACCACACGCAAATCTCTGAAGAATAAACTTAATCAGCATTCACAAAACTGGGATGGAATATTTTCTGCTGAAATTAATTTCGTTAGACAATTATTTTCCCCGATGATTTGAGTTTGTAATTTGTCGTGCAACCAATCAACGTCGTTGAGGTTGTTTTTATTTTTTGACTCGAAGATCACGCGAGAAACCTGATCACGTGATACCGGAGAAGTCGTAGGCTGAGGCCAGTCATGGAGGCTATTTTTAGAACAGACAACAGCATCATCTTCATAAAATGTTGGACTGGAAATGATTCTGTGGTTTAAATATAGATAATGGTCTAGCTAAAAATAACGTAATCCACGTCATTAAAGCTTGTTTGTGTTTATTTTGGTACAGTATGTGTGTATAAATAGTTGCTTTATTGGGTGGTTCTATTTTCGTTTGTATAGGAGCTAATATCGTATCGTATTTTGTGATATGTGGTCGTCCATAAATGACGTAGGGTGAGTGGGGTCCGTAATTTTGTGACGGTGTGTGATGAGGGGAGGGGGGATTTCAGATGGTGTGACGTCACACTTTTGCATTATAAAACAGAAATGTTTGAAAACGAATTTTAGACGTTATTTCCCGTTTTAGAAAACTTTTTTAATAAATTGTAATAGGAATTGATCAAAATACTCTATGTTGACAGAGTTCAGACAAGATTTCGGAAAAATATCGTATTTTAAGAAATATTCAACTGCTATTTTGAGGGAGCTGTAAACTGAGATGTGACGTCATTTTAGGGGGGGGGGGGGGTCTGACTTTTTGTGACAATGTGTGACGGATATGAGAGGGTGGGGAGGTAAAAATCGTCCCAAAAAGCGTGACGTCATTTAAGGATAACCTCTATGTTTTTGTACACAAATTGGTATTAAGTTTTGTGATTTTGTATGGGACATATGTGGTGCAATAAAACGGGGTATTATGTTGTAAAGGTGTTGTGTTGTGTATGTATGTTCTTCCACTTCCACTATATGTTCATTTCCTAGTGCGTTCTTTAATGGTGTTCATAGGATGAAATATGTCCGTACATATAGTGCTATAAATGTGTTCTACGAGTGCTTTTTTATGTTAAAATGATGAGTATACGTGCTTGTATATTTTTTGTGCTGTATGTGTCTGCTAAATGTACTCGAATATGTTATATCGTAATGGTATGTTATATGTGTTTGTATATATCTACTGTATTATTATGCTTTTATTTTTGTCTGCGTATCTTATGTATATAATGTATATGCTCTGTTGTAATTATATGCAATATGTTGTTGTATTGTATGTGCTTGCATATTCAGCTATAACGATATGCTATATTTTCCTGTATGTTCTATTAATGTGGTGTGTTGCAAGTCGTGGGTATGTGCAGATCTACATCTATGTAATACATTTATATTGACCCCCCCCACACACACACACATATCCCCCTTTATTAGATACGCTCTAAGCCCCCTCACCCTCTTCAAGCTGTGTCCCCACATACAAGAGGATTGGATGGTAGAGCTGCCCGTATTTCACTTCAGACTAATCGACAGGCTGTCCCACTATGTGCACATTTTATTACTGCCTTAGGTACAATAATATCTAAACACATTTTATTACTGCCTTAGGTACAATAATATCTAAACACATTTTATTACTACCTTAGGTACAATAATATCTAAACACATTTTATTACTGCCTTAGGTACAATAATATCTAAACACATTTTATTACTGCCTTAGGTACAATAATATCTAAACACATTTTATTACTGCCTTAGGTACAATAATATCTAAACACATTTTATTACTGCCTTAGGTACAATCAGGGCGTAGCGAGGGGGGGGGGGTCGCACCGGGTGACACCATTTAGGGGGGTGACACCAAGGCAAAAAAAATAGCAAAATATATAGAGAAAAACTTGAGGGGGGTGCAAATCGAAAATTTGAGGGGGGGTGCAAATCAAAAACTTGAGGGGGGGTGCAAATCGAAAATTTGAAAGTTTGTCCCCGGGAAGGGTCGCTACGCCTCTGGGGGGTGACACCATTAAGTGCCGCACCGGGTGACACCCGACCTCGCTACGCCACTTTGTACAATCATATCTAAACACATTATATTACTGCCCTCGACCCAAAGAGATTTAAACACATTTTATTACTGCCTTAAACTCACTGAAGTTCTTGCAGGTTAAAGAAAACGACACCAAATCTTTAAGTGACTTTAAGTGGTAACAGTTTGTGCAGCTAATCTCAATATTAAAAGTTTCTAGATCTAGAGTTTAGCGACAGATTCTATTCAGACACCAAAGTATGGAATGTGGGAGCGTATTTTCTATCTTATACGTCGATAGTAACGAAAAAGCTTTGTAGTCTCAAAACATTCTATAGCACAAAACATTTACAAAATGTATTGGGATTCTTAAATAAAACAATATTTCTGAAAAGCATGATTGAGTCTACAGTTAAAACTTGTTGGTGTATCGCTTTTCGGGAAAATTGCGCACACTTGAAGCTATATGCTGGACCAGAGGCGTAGCGAGGGCGGGGCGGGGGGTGCGAACCGCAACGGGTGACACCCGACCTAGCGACGCCTCTATGCTGGACAATCAAGTCTATCCAAAACACGTGACATTATATTTGTCTTGAGCTCTACTAGATGGCCCATTAATCTGATGAGGTCAGAGGACGCTGTGCCAAGCAAACAATTTTCGCATGTGTTGAACTAAGCACAACATTTCTGTAAATGATAAGCACACCATAAGGTGCATTTACTAATCACACAATGTTTGCACGTGCCAAACACACCATTTTTGTCTGTGCTAAGCACATGATTTGTGCGATGCTCAGCACACAATCTTTTCATGTGTTGAGCTAAGCACACAATCTTTGTCTGACAACACAATTTGTGCATGTGCTGTGAACGACGATTTTACGAAGGATTTCTTTCAAACATTTACCCCAGGGGAGGGGGTGGCACTTGAAATTTCCGTGACAGTTGGGAGAGGGGGTCGTAAAATTGTTTAAGTATTTATATATATATATATATATATATATATATATATATATATATATATATATATATATATATATATATAGCAGGGGGTGGGCGGTGGTGGCCGTGCTCCCCCCCCCCTCCCCAATAGGGATGCCTAAAAGAAACATTACAAAACGGATGACCGTCTCCAATCAAATACCAGACGCCAACACCCCATCGAGTATCCCATCTCGAGTAGTTTGGTAATCAGTCATTGATCTCAACAATTGATCACGTGATATGTGGGAGTCTGGGGATGTCAACCAGAGACACGACAACACTAGGTGGGGCGTCAGACATGAAATTGTGGAGACCAACTAAAGGACTAACTTTTATGTACTCAATTTTATGAATCAACATTCTAATATACACATTATCTAATAGTTTTATTAATTATTTTAAGTTAAAATATAATAAAAAAATATTTTTTTTAAATAAAACTTCTCAAACCAACTTACCCACACAGTAAATGCTGATGAAACGTCGCTCACAACAAAACCGATCTCACACAGTGCCGCAGGAAACCCCCGATTCTATTTATACCTTGCCCCGCTCTCGCGCGCGCTCATAAATATTTAAAACCTAACGCGGGCTCAATTTGAATGAGAGAAAAAAAAATTGTCAACAAATGGAAGAATCTCTTACAGTTGTATTGATCAGCTTATAGGAAGCTTCGATGTATTTTTACCATCAGGTCCGTGGTTATTGATCTTCGTGTTGTTGGCGGCACAGGGGCGGGGTGGTGGTTTATTCATGGGTTGGGGGGGGGATGGGTGGGAGATGGCCCGTGACGGGGTATCGGTAGAGGTGAAAACAATAAAAGAGCTTCCGTCTAAAGACACACCGATACATGGCCGGTACTTAGCATGCATGATTAATTAGAGGAGGTCGTGTTGGGCTTTTGAGTCTTTATTGTCTGTGTTTATATTAGTATTCAGTTTGCCTCGAAGAAGTGTGAAAGAATGCGTGTCAATATTAGGGTTAAATTCTTTTTTTCAATTTTTTTTAGAGAGGTATTGGGGTGGGGGGGTGTCTATGAGGGTTAAATTTAACTCCGTTAGTCACCGTTTTGATTGTCTAATTTAAATGTAAAACAAATTGATAAACCACTATACGAAATGTGACCCATGGATAACTGCCAATTTGGCCTGTTGGTTAGTCGGTTAATGCGACAATGATTAACTTCGTCTGAGTTGGGTTTTTTTTATTGGGACGTCCAACAGATTGGCAATCACATAAAAACACTCAACATTATATATACCCAACATATAACACACATCAAATCACAACACACAACATCAACACACATCAACAGATACAACTATGCACAACATACAACATGCATGAACATAGATCAGACAAAAACACAAAAACACAATAATACATAACAACACGTAACAACACATAATAATTCACAAAACACAAAAAAACAATTGAATATAAAACATAAAACCTTCAACCACTTAACACTTAACACAGCACACAGCTACATCGCTTCATGCTACAAACAAAACATAGAAAACACAACAACACAGTTTAATTGATGACACAACAATATACAATACACAAAAACGCTCAACACACGAAAGTGCTACAGAAAACACAAACAACGTAACACAACACACCGTTTTACACGGCAACATACGACACACGACAATACATAACAACCTGCAACAAGACACATCAATATATAACACATATTACAAATCACGATACACAACAACACTATAATACACAACAACACTATAATACACAACAACACTATAATACACAACAACACTATAATACACAACAACACTATAATACACAACAACACTATAATACACAACAACACTATAATACACAACAACACTATGATACACAACAACACTATAATACACAACCACACGCAACAATTACAATACAAATAACACACCAGCACACTTCGATACACAATAGAATACACACACATCTTAGAAGACACAAGACCACACTACACGACACGAAAACATAACACAAAAGTTACAACAAACTCAGTAAGCCATAACGCAGAACAATACAGTTGTATAAAGATACATCTAGACATACACAAATATTAATGTATGCTCTTTAACTATTGTGTACATCAATGGTCTTGTAATCTATAATTGAGTATTGTAACTCTTGGATTCTGTAGCCAGAGATCAGGTCTAGGTTTTTTAGAGATCAATTAGGTACCTCTCAAGTCTGGTGATCAATAAGGCAGGTGAAGTAGACTTATGTTGATGTGAAATTTGCGTACAGAAGGAGAGTGGGATCACGTCTATGTCCACCAGTCTTTACTTTCCCTAAGGTCAGTCAGGTAACCATCAGGTAACCATCAGGTAACCATCAGGTAACCATCAGGTAACCATCAGGTAACCATCAGGTAACCATCAGGTAACCATCAGGTAACCATCAGGTAACCATCAGGTAACCATCAGGTAACCATCAGGTAACCATAAGAGTCCTGGGGACTCAGGGACTTCATGCGGACTCGAGTCCTGGCCGGACCCGATCTTGATACCTCTGGGTTAGCAGTCTTGCGCTCTACCGACCACGCCTCCTCATACAATTTCTGTAGTATATAATTTCTGCTAGTATATTTATAATCGTAAAAGATCGAACAAAAGTACGGATGTTATCATAATATGATAATACAGATAAACAGATGGTTATCTGTTTATCCGAATTATCCGTTGCAGGAATGCTAGTCGTAAGACTTCTTGTTGACATATATCTGGCCGACATTTTTATGTTAGAAAGATTTTATATCGCTGTTATAACATATTATAGGAGAATAAGTAAATATTGAATGTGTTACAATGTGAACTAGACACACAAAGACAAGCTATTTTAGACCGTTCAACACATGTAGTTTTAAGAGTTTTGTTTGTATTGTAAGAGCATCGTTGGGATTGCTTGACATGTCAGTGAAATGTGCTTACAGATTTGTGTTGAGACCTGCTTGTTGAGGCCGTACAGTGCCCCTGGTATTATAGGGAAAACTCTGCCATATATACACAAATATTTGTGACATCACACAGTAAGTATGGACATTGTAAGGAACGATATTGGTATGATTTTAAATTTTAGGCTGGTGATGTAGTATTAAGTTAGAGCAGCAGGTATGTGAGTTAGTACTAAGTGTATGTATACCTAGGTGGTATTTTTGTGAGTGTGCGAGCGGGCGGGCGCGTTTGTGTGATGTATATGCGTGTTTGTGTTTGTATGTATGTGTTTGCTGAGTTACATTTTTTTTTTAATTTTGCCAAAAGCTTTACAGGAGTCAGCCACCAACACCGTCCCGGTGACACTACTGGCCTCACACAACAATGTCTTCGTTCCGTAGCTGTACTGAGACCATTCAAGTTTTCAAGACACGAATGTAATGTTTTCGTGTTCAAAATAGAAGTCAAATCAGTTCTTCTTTACTAGCCACCGTTTGGTCTCTGGTATTGCTCTAAGCGTGGATCATGTGATTTTAGATGTATATGGAAATGTACAAAGTAAAGCCAAATCTGACTTTACACTACAATTTTTTTCTCAAAATTAGTTAACAAAAGATCGTTAACATTTACTAAATAATTGCAAGACAATTGGTTTGATGAAGTGTTTATGAATTAATTATTAATAAAGCTACTTTAAAAAAATTGTCTCATTCGTCGTGTTTTGAATAAAATAAGAAAAATCTACCTTCTTTTCTTTTAAAATGTTGCATGTGTTAAAAAATATTTTGCTTATTTTTTACTTTCTCGTATATACGAAAGTCTTGTAATCGTGCAAAAAAAAATCGAGATTTTTCCTTCTTCGTCGTCTGCCAGAGGGTTTGAACTCGAGAATTTTTTCGAATTTATCAACCATGAGCTTTGCCGACTCGATTATGCTTCCATCACAATTAAGGATTACGTGTCAACTGGTTATGCGCCATTGAGGCCATTGACTCCGATTTCAGCCTGCTTTTCTTTTTGGATTTGCTTCCATAACCTTTCTCCAACCAAGAACAAACTACAAGGCAGCAGTTGTTTGATTTTGGAGTTGTCTCTCCTAGAAGAGTGGCTGTCCCCAGCTAACGAGCCTCATGTTGTCCTTATGGCTGTGTGTGTATGTGTGTGTGTGTCTGTGTGAGTGTAAACACGATAACTTGAGTACCGTTACAAATAGGCTGATGAAATTTCTTATATAAGTATTATATTTGGCGTTCACTTGGAGTGCAATTCTTTTTTCTACGAGATTTTATTCTAGTTTAAAAAGTTTAAGTATTTAAAATGGATTAAAAATTATGTCTATATCCCGAGTTGCCATTCCCTGTTGTTTCATATAAGAATATTCGAGAAAGTTTAGGGGAGATCACTCCCCGTTTTTTTTTTTTTTTTTTATGTTGCACGTGTTTAAAAAAAACATTTTGCTTCTTTTCTTTTACAATGTTGCATGTGTTTTAAAAAATGATGAAGTTAACACCTTTTTACGTTAGTTAATTATGAAGTTGTGTGTGAAATACCACGGGATGGTATCAACATTTTCATGGTTAATTGTTTTGAGCGACAAACGAACAAAAATATTAAAACAACAAACGAACAATTATGCTTGGCAACGAAGAAACAAAATACTTAGCAACGAACAAGCTTTTTATCGATTAAAGAACAGCTTACAATTGATTAACATCTTCTTGGACAACAAAAATAAATTTTAAAAAACCAACAACACGTTCAAAATTAAATACATAATTTAATATTCTAAATTTTTGCACATCAAACGCCCACCCTTTTTGAGAGAGGAGCGGAGTTAAGAGAAATTGGCCAAAAAGTCTTGTAAAGATATTTTGCCGTCAGCCTCGACTTTCTTCAGCAGAGCTTCAGACTCGGCCTGAGAGAATTCGACGTCTGAGGCTATGATGGCAGCTTCCAACTCCTCCTTCTCCAGGAACCCGCTGTTGTCGGCGTCGTATTTCTGGAACAGCTCGGTCAGCTTGGCGACTCTGTGGGGTGGGGGGGGGGGGGGAGGAGGAGACAGGAGAAATATAATTAGTTCCCCAGTAGTTAAACAAGGTTCGTTTTTTTTAAAGGTTAATTTCAAGAAGCAAACATAACAAATTGTGTTCCCTTTCACTACAGGTCTATGTCGTGTGATGTGTTGTTTTTTTCTGTAACGGATAGTGCTGGTTTTTTTTTTTTTTTTGTCGTACGTGAATTTTTAGATTTGGTCTCCAAAAGTTAATAGGTATAAATACAAAGATACTTACGTACTTATATATATATATATATATATATATATATATATATATATATATATATATATATATATATATATATATATATATATGTGTGTGTGTGTGTGTGTGTGTGTGTCTCTGTGTGTGTGTGTGCGTGTGCGTGCGCGTGAGCGTGTGTCTGTGTGTGTCTTTGTGTGTGTCTTTGTGTGTGTCTGTGTGTGTGTCTGTCTGTGTGTGTGCGTGTGTGTGCGTGTGTGTGTCTGTGTGTGTGTCTGTGTGTGTGTGTACAGGGTACACACCGCAAGGGGAGTGAAGAAAGTAGCCGGGGA